ATCAGGGAAAGTACGCTGAGGCAGAGAAGATGCATCGCGAGACGCTAGCGCTGAGAAAGAAGGTGTCAGGAGAGGAGCACCCAGGCACCCTGACGAGCATGTACAGCCTTGCTCACCTTCTTGCAAAGCAGCTTCGCTACGATGACTCTCGCTTTTTGTATGAACAAGCATGCGCTGCATACGGCACTGTTCTTGGAGAGGACCACCCGACGACTCGCGCTTGTCATCAACACTATCGCCAGCTGCTCGCGTTGCAAGAGCAGAACCGCGTCTCTTTTCATTCTGGAAGGCCGGAGAGTACTGAAGGTATGCGCACGAGTAGAAAATCAAGGATAGTACGTGGGCTAGCGAAGGTTGGTATCAGAACATCAAAACTCCACACAGAGTAGGCAAACGTTGCCTGTATACAATAGAATCATCTACCAAAGAACGACTGTTTATTTATATTGTTCACCGCCAACATCTATTTGCGCTCACTCGCATGTGTTTGCAGAAATACGGCGATGTCTAAACACGCTACTGCAGGCTGCCTGCTTGCCAAGTGCATTAGCACATTCCGATATATTGGTACGCTTTTCGAGATCTATGCTGTCACTCATCGCTAGGAGGGGTAGTTTAGTGAATGCTTGGGTTGGGGGCGCAGGCTGCTTCTGTCCAGAGAAGACAGGATGAGAAGAAGCCTTCAACAGTACTTGTGAAGGAGTCAAGATCTTGCCTGAGGCAGAAGGCCGGCCGGCTACATAACTACCTAAAATCAAACCCAAAAAACCCAACAACCAGAACACCAAATAAGAGAGAGTCATGAGAGAGTTCTACAAGAGTTGCGAGATAGGGCGGGATGGCGGGAGAATTTCTATGTGCGATGAGACGACAACAATGTGATTGATGGATGATCGATCTCCTCCCTGAGAAAGCTCATAGTATAGTGAGGACTTGTTTGCTGCCAAGCCTCACTCCTTTCATGCAGGACGGATAGCAGCTGCTATTCACCGGCCATAGAACATGACATTTTCGCTCTCGACCGGCGAAACTCCCAGACTATATCCTCCTCAGCTTAAAAGGGCATTTAAGGCTTTGGGACAGCATCTTCCGTGATTGTACTCTGCATCAAGCCCACCGATCTCAACAATCTCCCTCGTGGTCGCGAATGGACAGGGGGTATTGTCAAGACTGGGTGGTTCTCTGTTGTGTTGCAGGTGAGCAGAAGCTCGATATAAGCTACCTATCACGTGCCGGTGATCGGGGAATCCTTCACCCGCCTCCCGCAGACAGGTATCGACGTAGGATCGATTGACGGCATCGACGAAAGGGTCGACAGCAACCTCAATACCGCTGCGATCGTTGCCGGAGGCTGATGCTCTGAGGAGGAATTGGCTGCAGAACATTTATATGGGTGACTTGTAGTATTTGCTAACCCCCTCCTCTTTTTGAGTATGTGAGATCCCACAAAATGTTGGACTTTGGACCTGGGTGACGTAGGTATCACACTTACCGCGCAGGCAAGAAGGTTCTAGTAGGGATGACAATAATCTCCCTACTGGCGACAGCGTTGCTCAATACTACGTTAGAATGGTGGTAGTGAAAGAAGGGTAGCGGGTTCATGACGGTGGTGCTATGTGTGATAACAGGCTTGGCAGAAGCAGAGGTTGTGAGTGGTGGTGAAGGTATGGGTCAGGGTCTAGTACCTAAGAATATGCTCCCGGCAGTCTCAGACTCTTGCATCACCGTACCACTCTTCTCCCTTCAGCATGTGGTCTGTGCACAAGGGGGGGTCCAGCAACTACTACAAGTTATTATACATTAATTACAACTCTATCAGCTTGCGTATCAGAGATGGCGATGCTCCGAAGTGCAAACTTGTCCCGTCACACCGTGCGTCCCGGCACGCTTGGATGGGCGTTAGGCTTTGTTCCATGCTGCATAAATGGGCACGACTTGGCAAAGAAAGTACGCGCGTGAAGGAGTCGTCAAAGTAGAAATCTGGCTCAGCTCATGTAAGATTCATGGTGCGGTTGATCAGGACAAGGGCCAATCCTCCTTCCTTTGAAGCTCATCCACACATCCAATTTTTAGCGAAAAGAGTAGGTTTGAACCTCGGCGATCACATGGAGACGGATTTTGATTGCAATAATTGGATTCCGTCGGGATTGCAAGGCAAAAGGGCACGCCGTGGCTATGCACGCGCGTGTACAATGAGGAACAACGGCTACTTCAATTGGAAGTCAGGCTCCTCTGCCGCCACCCATAGAGTTTGGATTGCCATCATTGCTGAAGTTCGAGATGAACACGACCAGCACCGCACAGTAAGCGGCTGACGCAGCGAACAGCTCGTGTCGCTTGGCTTTAGTCAGGAGAGACATGGCTGCTGAGAAGAGCAGTGTGAAAACAACCAGCAGGCCAACAGCATCGAGAGTCGAGTTCCGGTTCCCGACGGATGTCAGCTTGTACATCGCAACCACAGGTAAAACAAGCAGCACGAAGATAATCAATGTGATGATGAGACCGACGAGTTTCTCCACTCGAGAAGGCGAGTAGTACTCGATCGAAGCGTCCTTAGTCTTTTCGCGCAACTCAGGTGTGGTGAATAGAGACTGTCAGTGGGTCAGTGGGCGTTGAGGAATGGTGTGGCTGGGTGAACCTACTTGTTTTATGCACTTCGGTAACCTCTTGATGGACGACTCGATCCAGCCATCAAAGCCGGCCCACTCTCTACCTTGTCTGAGACTGATTAGGTCCTCCTTACGCATGACGAAAACCTGTTCCTCATCTACCAATGGTTTCTTCGCCCGACACCAATGTCTAAGACTTCTGTAATCACGGTTGCTTGGTCTTTGAAAAGTGTTGAGTTCTCTTGCTTTCAAGAGAATCTCATCGTAGCGCACAAGCTTGTCGCGAATAGTGGAAAGTAGAGCCGAACGGGGCGATAAACCATCCTCCGAGCCTGCGGCCTCGAGGTCCAGTTCGCGAGATCGAACACTATTTCTACGTTCCATGTCAGGCGCAAAGCCGTCCTCTTCGTCCAGCTCGCTCAAATCCGATTCAAGACAACGAAGCTCATCTTGCAGATCAAGGATAACTCGAGAATGCAGATAGTCGAACGATCGATAGATGGAGAAACTGGACTCGCTGGACTGGAAAGCGGCCTGGGAAGGATACCCTCTTGGGTAACTCTCCACTAAGTTTTGTGAGCATGGCTAGTCAACGATGCCGCGATGCGTAATCGTACATTTCATTGTGATTGTCTCCCTGATCTCTTTCTGTGCTGCCCTTTCGTCATCGGCACGATCTTTCTGGACAGCTCTCTGATGTTGTTTCTCGGTCGTCAAGACAGTATGTTTGGAGCCTGGACATCTCAGTGGTGCGTGTAAAGACTAGACCGAGCTCATACTGGTAGTTGGCGAGCCCACCATAGTAGAGGTAGGGCTTTGCAGGCTGACATGGTCATGGCCCGGACTACCTGAGTTCATTCCTGATCCGCTTTCGATATCTTTGGTGGCATTCTCTTGCTTGAGCATCCATCTTGGGAACATGATGATGAGCTTTCGAATGCTTTGACGGCTCGTGAATGATGTCCATATGGGACTTGTCCCTCTCGCTATAAACGTTGCTGATGACTGACCGGTTCTTGGTGTCTCAAGCGTAGACCCCACCATCATGCATACTCAGCCTGTCAGCTTGCATCGGTGATTCAGCCTCGCCCGTACCACCCTCCACAGTCAGTCAGCGCTTTTCCTTCTTCAGCAACGACTGATCGAAATAATGACCATTCTTGTACAGAACCCGGGATGTGATATCCAGCAACTGGTACGACCACCCAATTGATTTGTGCCCTTGAAAGGCCTGGACTTCGAAAAGTGGCCATGTTACGACCTTGCCGAATTCCTTGCTTTGTTCCTCCACCCTCAATTTCACTCGTTCCCCCGGCTTGAATCTGCGTGGTATCTGGGCGGAAAGCTAGTGTCAGTCCAGCTTTGGCCAACATCGTGTAGTTGTCGAGAACGTACATCTTTTGCTACAGGGTCTTCGTAGTTAACACTAGATTTTGTCTGCCCCCCGTAATCAAACGACTGGAGATTGTTGTTAGTATGTCACCTGTAGAGGGACTGAGGGTGCTAACACACCTGTTGCGCTTCTTCTTCTGAGGAAGCCTTGTCGTCCTGCATGGTACTGGGCTGTGTTTCGAAAGAGCTCTCCATATACAGAATATCTGAATCAAGTCTGGAGACGGGCCTAAAATATCAACAGAATAGAAATGCACTTCCTGTCGAGCAGACAGCGAAGCAGAGGGTTCCTTAAACGTATCGATAGCGTCCAGCGCTCATCGTGCGCCTTTAAACACGATACTTGCAACATGGTGTTCTGCTGCCTTCCACCCTCAACACCCCCGCATAGCACGGCTGTGGACTCGCAGGGGTAGCACGAAAAGGGTGGGGCGGTAACACATGTGGTTGGTCCTTCAACGCGGTGTGGCTTCCACGGCCAGCGCTAGTACCCGCATGTATTTACGAGGTGTTCGCAGGCCTGCAGGCAACAAGGCAACGAGGCTGTATTTCAATACTCGCGCAGCGTTTCCTCAAGCAGCCCCCAAAATCAGTCCCCCACCCACTCCGCCTTCATAGTCCTTCAGTCCGTAAGCTGACAGAACATGAAGCGGGCCTCGCGCTACAAAAGCAGTGAGGCTACGCGTGTGAACGGCTACCCTGTAGCGGTGAACCATTATGGCGACACAGCAGCCTCAGCCTGACGGTCCGACTGTTGAGGTCAGCGTCGAGAAACATGGCGACGTTGATGTCGACGTACATGTTGTGCCTGATGCGCCCTCCCGCGACGAGAGTTGCAAACTCTCGATCAACGACGACGAGAAGAAAATGGAAACGCAAAGACAAGCCTGGTTCGAGAATGCCATCAAAGACAAACTGAAGATACCCAACAGCTACGAGGAAGTATCTGTGCTCATGGTACGATGGCATCCTGACATCGATGACTATCGTGTCGGTCATGACCAAGAGGTGAGTAGTCGAAAATGCTGTCGAAAAGCGAACGGTACCATGATTAGTGCTGACCTCGACACCCACCAGATCAGGAAGCTTGAACATGTATTTCGACGCTTCGGGTTTTCTGTCGATCCAGTCGTTTGCCTTAATACAAAAGACGAGAAACCTCAAAACACCCTCAACTTGGCTATCGCCCAACACATAGCCAAACATGATGGAGCCAATAACCTCATGATCATATACTATACCGGACATGGCCTTCAACTAGGTTCTGATGGGAGATTGGCGTTTGCTGCGTAAGTGGCCAAAGTCGATAGACATCACCCTACTGACCTTGACACTAGAACGACCGACGCACACAAGGTGAAGAGAGGTAAACACCACGCCATTGCTTACTGGGACATCGCCGAGGAACTGCTTTTCAAGAAAGGTGTAGAGCCAGACGTATTCACAATTCTGGACTGTTGCTTCGCAAGCAGAGGCCACAAAGGCTCTGATGATAGCCGCAGAATATATGACTTACTCGCAGCGTGCGACAGGGACGAGACTACACCGGCTCCGTGTCCGACGTCGTTCACCGAACGTTTGGTCGCCACACTGGAAAAATTCCTAAACGATCCGGACGATCAGAGCATCTTGACGACTAAGCTCTTGGAAGAGATAAATAAGGATTGCGACAGTCCTGCGTACCTATTCGATCGGTTGAAGAAGAATGATAACCGGCATGTACAGCTGAAGCCACTCAGCGAGCAGACTACAGAGGAAGCCAAGGAGCTTGCGATCAAGTTCAAAAATCAACCGCCAGAAGAAGCGGGAGTCAGTCTGCGATTCTCGTTGCAGAAACAGGACCTGTCAAAAAAGAAAATTGAGGAATGGGCTCAAGCGCTCATAACCGCCTGCGAGACAGTTGTACCGCTACGGCGCATCGATTGGGTAAAGATGGAAAAGAACAGTCCTGGTCAGCGGCTTCAACGCCTCGTTGACATTGTCCATCAGGCCAAGAATAACCCAAGACAACGGTTTCGGAAAGCCATCGAGACCGTTATCGAAAACAACGAAACTGCTGCAAGGAGAGCAAACAAGCGGAGTCGATCCGAGGATCCCCTACCCGTTACATCAAAGCGTCGAGCCTCAGGCAACCTGTTGACACCATTCATTGGGTTGAACCCCGGACCGATGACACCGGAAAGCAATGCGGGATCGTAAAGTTACGTTTGGAGCAGTGTCCAGGGTATGGCTGCATATCGTTCTCTGGTTTTGTGTGATTGGTTAAATCGTATCGCCTCTCCTGTACTTTAGTCTTCCTTCTGTCCGAGATACCCAACAAATACTCATTTACCGTCTAGCTGGTCACTCAGTGCGTGTGAGAGATGTCTTTGCGGAAGATGTGTTGGAGAGCTCCCACTTGGGCAGCTGAACGCGACGCGTGACCGTGGTCAATGACGGCATCTGCCTAACCTTTTCGGGACAGCTCGGGACTCAATCGCCGCAGCAACCCCCAGGCACCTCCGCAACAACAACGTTCATCGCAGCTACATCACCAATATCGAGTGATCATGAAGTCCTCTATCTTGCTGTCCCTGTCGACCGTGGCTCTTGCTGTAGCTGTTGCAACCCCCAAGGACCCACAGATCGTCCTCCAGAACCCTCAAGTTACGGTCGATGAGCCAGACCAATATCTTATCGAGCTGTCTCCTGGTGAGACACGATGGGTTACCGAGGATGAGAAATGGGCTTTGAGACGTGTAAGTACTCGGTCATCTTGGACAGGACGTCCGACATCTGCAAGAAGTACTGATAGCCACAGCAAAACATCAACTTCTTCGACATCACAAACAGCGATGATCTCAGTACTCTTAGTCGTGAGATTGCTGCCGAGAAGGTCACCTTTCCCTCGAAACCCGCATACAACAAGACCGTGAAACCTCTACTGAAGGAACTCGAGAAGGACAACATGCGCAATCACCTCGAGACATTTACTTCGTTCCACACACGCTATTACAAATCACAGTACGGCGCACAGTCTTCGGCATGGTTACTCAAACAGGTGGATGGCACCTTGAAAGATGCCGGTGCTAAGGACGCTTTTGTGAAGGCGTTCCCTCACCCGTGGGGCCAGTCTAGCATCATCGCCACCATTCCAGGCAAGAGCAACAAGACTGTTGTGATTGGAGCACACCAAGACAGCATCAACCTCTTCCTCCCCTCCATTCTTGCTGCGCCTGGTGCAGATGACGACGGCAGCGGTACCGTAACAATCTTGGAGGCACTGCGGGTGCTGCTCAAGTCGGAGGATATCCTGAAGGGTGAGGCAGAGAATACAGTTGAGTTCCATTGGTACTCGGCTGAAGAAGGTGGCCTCTTGGGAAGCCAAGCTATTTTCCAGTCATACCAAAAGGAGCGCCGAGATGTCAAGGCCATGCTGCAGCAAGACATGACTGGCTACGTACAGAAGACACTCGACAACGGCGAGCCAGAGTCTGTCGGTGTTATCACCGATTTTGTCGACCCCGGCCTTACCGACTTCATCAAGGAGGTCATCACCGAGTACTGCGATATTCCTTACATTCTGACCAAGTGCGGCTACGCTTGCTCAGATCACGCTAGTGCATCCAAGGCTGGCTACCCATCTGCCTTCGTCATTGAGTCTGACTTCAAGTACTCTGATAACAAGATTCACACGACTGAGGACAAGATCGAGTATCTGAGCTTCGATCACATGCTTCAGCATGCAAAGCTGACTCTTGGTCTGGCATACGAGCTCGCATTTGCCGAGTTCAAGTAGAACGCTGGGCACTTTGTAGCTTTTATCGAATCAATACAACGCATCGAATGAGCAGTTTTTCGTTCTCTGCATTGTTGAACTCATTGAGTGTGATACGGTTCACCTGCCTCATCTCGCTGCTCTATTGGAGCACGCGAGGCGCGTAGCGATGACGTGACGCATACCTCGGTCCATTAATTCTCCCCATTGCACCCCTCTGGCTCTTGCACATCACAGCCCAACTTCCTTTACAAGTAACATTTCACTCATGCCAACAACAAGAGGTCAGAAGCGCGACGCAGACATGGAAGCCGCACTCAAAACATTCTTCTCGTCACCACGTTTCGCTGTGGCAGGCGCATCCTCTGACCCCTCCAAATTTGGACACAGAGGTATGTAATTGCAACGATACAGCATCTGAACTCCATAATTTGATTCAACTGGAACAAATCTGACATTTGCAATCAGTGTTCGCATGGTACCTCCAGCACTCCCTCCCCGCAACACCCATCAACCCCCGCTCTTCCACCATCTCTGTCCTCAACCGCGACCACACCACCGTCCCATCACCGACCGCACTATCAGACCCAGACGCCTCTTCTTACTCGTTGTCCATCATCACACCGCCGGCTGTCACCAAGCAGCTGCTGAAAGAGGCCAAGGAGGCTGGCGTGCCTGCTGTGTGGTTGCAACCAGGTAGCTTCAATGATGATGTGCTGGTGTATGCGCAAGCGAATTTCAAAGCTGCGATAGCTGGAGATGGCGGGAGAGGTGGAGAGGGGTGGTGTGTGCTAGTTGATGGGGAGGCGGGGTTGAAGGCTGCTGGGAGGGAGTGGTCAAGGTTGTAGGATGTCGAGGATTTTCATTTAATGACGCGTCAGTACCGGCGTTCAGTACAACGCAGCCATCTCCAACCTCGGATCGATGCCGTTACCTACGATCATCAGATGGATGATTCGAGATCGTCTTTTGACACCACAACAGTTCCTGACGCCTCGTGGTGGCAGTCCAAGCAAGCCGCAAAGGATGTGATGCTTTTCAGTAAATCCCGGGTGACTGTTCTCGAAACTGTCCGATCAGATCGACAATCGTTTTCTCGGTTTATTGCTTTTGGAAGCTTAGCAAAGAGCAAGTAAGAAAGCGCGGACCACCATGGACGGGCAGTTAACCTATACGAGCGAGCAGCAAGCATATGACCCACCGAGCTCGGCCAAATTGGGGTATGAGGGTACTCGATAGTCCAAGAGGCTCTTCACACTGTACCAATCTTGCTCACCGTTGTCACTCCATCCGCACCACTTTGAAATGACGAATCTTCGAGATGAATGGGCAAACCATAAGCCGGGCCATTCGCCGTATACCGCAACAGTTCTCATGGTGATCTATTCCTTTGCCTACTATGCCAAAAGCGGAGTGTTCGCGTTCAAAATGTGTCAGATTCTAATGTAGCTAGTCAGAGCCCTTCAATGCTTGACACAAAAGGTTCGTTTGTACGAGAACTGCGATACTTTTCATCCTGACACATCGTTAGATCCGCAATGGATGCCTCTTGTGATACGCTGGTACTTTCTGGTAAGTCCTACTAGCCTGTCGATCATGCTGGCACTCCTCGTCATGTTCCTGCATTGGTAGTCCCTTGATTTCGACAGGGAATACTACTAACGGATCCGCGAAACAGTTCCATCAATCGTTCTCATTTTCTCCGCATTACACGATATATACTCTAGTCTCGAGTGGTACAAATATAGTCCACAGTCATCGCTCGTTAGTAATTACATTACCGGCGATCGCCCCCACTTCATGGGGTGGCGGCTTTACTAGGCACCAAGTACGATTTCAACATCTCAATGATGCCGACTCCGATCTACCCAAGAAAGCTGCTCAGATGAGACAGCGGTTCTTTGCTCAGCTTCTACGAACTTCGTTAGACGGCCAAGAAGAATCCTTGGGGGAAAGTGTACTTGGCACACGAATTGCAACTGAGCGACGTATACTCGTAAACCACCGGATCGCCATCACACTCTGCGTTGTCTTCTCCGTGTTGTTCTGCAGATTTATAGCCCTGCTGCGGTTCTCTCGGCAAAGAAACAGACCGTTGCATCTTCGTCGCAACCCAAGCAGCGTTCTTGGGTTGTGCTCAACTATCGTCCAAAGGACGACTGTACTGCATCTGTTCAAGTCACTTGACCTTGCCTCAAGGCGAGCGTTGAAGGCTCACCTCGCCACACGTACTTTCGCCACCTCGTCTAAAGAGCTCTACGGATCCGCAACTTGGTTGGTTTGCTTGCATACGTCCTGGCATTGTTAGTAGCAACGGCATTACTGTTCAAGTACGCGCGAACGTTGACTGTGCGTCAGGGACTGTTCGCCTACCGGGCCAATCTTCAGCTACTTGGCGATAACTCCTCTTTCTCACCGTTTGCGATTATTCCGACCTTGTTTCTGGGGGTATCACATTATGGTGGGATTCGATCGACAATGCCTGCAGAACACTGCAACCTTATCTGGCTATGTCGTATAAGACAAAATCGCCATTCCATGGTATCGCACTATCCTACGCATCATCCTTCTGGATTTGGGCGTCCTTGAAGGCTGCCAGAAATCGACGTTGGCTGCTGTCACTGATCGCCCTGACGACGTTCCTAATGCAAGCCCGTGAGTATCCTAGTCCACGTTCTAGATTTGACGCTGATAGTTTAGATAGTCACTATCTCGATGTCTACTCTTTTCCAACAAAGTAGCGTGAGCATGCCAGACACCTTCTCAACTGCAGTCTTGAAGTGCGTCGTGACACTCTGGTGGCTACGACGCACTTGACCTACGGTAGCGGGATCACAGATGCCATGTTGACACTCAATGTTCGTGCGCGTATTCAATACTTTTTTCTTCTGCTGTCCTAGACGCGCACCATCTCCCCGACCTGCTTTTCGGTTAACAGATTGTTCGACCCTCCAGCTACACTGTTCGATTACCTTCAGTATTTTATCGCCTCGTTCTCGAACTGCGCAGCTATCTTAATAACCGAATCACTCCGTAGAACGTCCACCGGGATGGACAAACCCCTAAACCGAAACCGCACAGCACCCGATCCAGAAGATCCCATCATGGTCGTGTCCCATTCAAACCCAGGTACTGATTTCACAAACGGTACATGGAGCCTCGATCACACCACGGGATGTCACTATGGGAGTGATGAGGAGAGGTTTCTCTGCATAGTCCAAAGATGTGTTGCTATTCTGTCTGTTGTGATGGACTTTTTTGTGGCCATCAGGAGGGTCTGTTCACATGACGTATCTACGATACAGATGAGGGTGGAAAGTGCTTGTCAAGGGGAGTAGGAACCACTACACCAACATGTGGTACATGGGACATCCTTACCCCATGAACCGTCACACAGGAGCGTCACCCCCCGCCATCGTTCTCCCCCAAGAATTCCAAACGCATGTAGTTAGAGCTCTTGAACCCGGCGATTTACTTGGACTTCCACACCTCCCGACCTTTGTTGTAGCACATCCCCAGCACACAACGACCACAGGGCATTGCCATCCGCTTCGGTGGAGAGACTGCCTCGAAGTAGGTTACTGATCCAAGGCATGCATTCCTTGAACTGTCGAAGCATACCGCAATCCCGAAGTCTCAGCAGACTCGTGAACGTGTACATACCTCACAACCGACCGACTCGTGAAAAGGAAAGGGCCAAGCCGATGTAAAGCAATCGCGAAGAAGAACAGGGTTGCATGTGCATCTCCGATTGTTTCTCTCGCTATCTACACCCGCTCAACCCAACCTTTCTTCGCCAACAAACCTTGCGATCCTACACATCTAGCTCTACTTCCTCACACCCCTTAGATCTGCACCTATTTCCACCCACTCAACCCCGCCCACACATCATTCCCCTGCTGTCCTTGTTGCTGCTGCCCCTGCCCCGGTCGTCCACTCTGTGCATAACCCCCTGGACCCCCCGGATAACTCCCCTGCGAGAAGTGACTATAATCCTGCTGCGGCGGCGGCCCCGGCGGCGGCGGAGGCGGGACATAACCCTGAGGCACATTCTGACCCCACTGATTCTGCTGCTGCTGCTGCTGCTGCTGCTGCTGCTGCTGCTGCTGCTGCTGGGGCGGCTGGCCCCACGCCTGATGCTGTTGATGTTGCGCCGGGGGCGGGGAGAAGAATTGTTGATGCGCTGGCGGGGACACGGGGTTGTATTGGTGTTGGGCTGGGTTGTAAGGTTGACTCGTTTGATGCTGGTGTTGGGGTTGTCCGTATTGTTGGTAGGACTCGCGGCGGGGAGGAGGGGGTTGGAATGAGTTGCTTGTTGCGCCGCCGTAGGATTGCTGGGGCGACATGAAGGGTTGTTGGGTTGTGGGTGGGTAGCGCGGCGTTACTGGTGGCGAGGCTGCGGGGTTGTATGCCATGTGTCCTGCTGCTGAAGTGCTGGGATAACCGGGTATGGAGGACAGCGGAGGTGGTGCGGACTTCTTACGTCCGCCGCTACCGGCTGAGACAGGTGAACCTGAGGGTTCCATGGACATGCGCTCCATGAGGTCCTTGAGGCGCTGCTGTTCGTGGTCTGCGCCTTGGGACTTGCTTTGCTCGATGCGGGCGAGGAGTTGGCCACCTTCGGACCTCCTATTGTTGACAAAGGTCTCGACATTCTTTTGCAGACTTGATACTGTCTCCTTCATCTCCGAGTAAAACTGTTGTGCTCGGTTGAGGCCGGCCACGAGATCGTTGAAGCTCTGGTTGATCCTCCGGTATTTCGTCATGACAGTGTTCCGCTGGCGCGAGAAGGCTTCGTACTTGCTCTGCTCAGATCTTACGCGCTTGTCCTTCAGTAGGTCCGAATATGTGCGTGTGAGTTCCTTGAGTAGCGACGCTTGCTTGTGGTTGGCTTGCAGGATGCGGTTCTGGTGCGGTCGGAACTTCTCGAGTTCAGCTTTGAAGAGTTGCGACTCCTGGTTCGCAATAGCTTTCTTGTTGAGAATGAGAACGTTCGAAATATCGTCAGAATGAACCTGCATGAGTCAGCAAGTGCACACAAACGGCGGGCAGAGGTGTACATACCTTGCCCTTGAGATCCAGCAATATCTGGGCTCGCTCCTTCTTGACCAAGTTCAGCTTCCGTAACAGGTCTTCAACGGCCGCAATCTGATCCGCCACAGTCGGGCCGTCATCATAGTCATCGTCAATGAGGTTTCCCTGCGCCGGCCCAGGGCTCTTCCCTTTCTGAGCACCGGCCTTGATCATAGCTCTTTGGTACAGCACATCGGCCTCGTCCGTTTCGCCAGCTGAACGCATCTCATCGAAGTCCGCCTCACACTGGCGGAAAGTGTTGTAAAGCTGGGCATCGCTCGTACTCGCCTCGTCAATCGCTCCACGGTAGTTCCTGATATCGCTTCGCAGTGTCGCAGTGAGTCTGGAGCTGGGCTGCTGTGTCCACTCTGCCCCATACTTGCTTCGCATCTTCTCACAAACGCTCTCCTCCATGTCCAACTGTTTCATGCTCGCATCCAACTGGTCGGTGATCTCCGACTTATCGCGGTTCAGCTGGTCGAAAGCCGAAGAAAATGATTGGTGACCAGCGAGATCCTCGCACCACTTTCGAAAGTCCGAGTCGACCATCATATCCTGGTCCATACCTCCGCGCAGCACATTCAAGCTGTCCGGAAGCTTCAGGTAGTCGAGACTCGCTGCCATCTCATCGTTTGCGACCTCGACTCTTTCACTCTCGGCACGAATCAACTTCGCCTTCTCCTCATCGTACAGACTTGCAGATTCTGTGACTGCCAGGGGTACAATCTTTTGGAAGATATCGGGACCAATAATCCTCTGTATATCTTGGCCCTGATAGAGCTCGCTCACAGGTATCGCCTTCGCCGCAGGCAACTTCGGGATCGCTGTCAACGAAGCCTCGTTCGGGATACCTTGATGGTAGATGAAGTCATTGTCCTTCATGAACTCTGCTAGCTTCTCTTGTACATTCGAGAGATGCTTCTTTGTCATCTCAGCCAGTATAGCATGTGTTTCAGATGTCAAGTTCGAGTTCGCGGGCGCCGAGTTGGGGAAGCTGTTTGCCTGGCGGCTGCCATCTCGCGCGCTCGTCTCCGCCACTTGTAATCTGCAGATGGCTACGCCGTGCGAGTTGGCGTCGTCGTCGGCCAGCGCTTGGTAGTATTGCGCTACCGAGGCCATGTGGTTTGCCTTGATCTGCATCATGTCAGTACCAAGCAAACTCCCTCAACTGTGCGTACTCACCTGACAAACCAACAACCACACCTTCTCAAACACCGCGTTCGTAACGTTCTCCTGCGCACCCTCCGTAGCCTGCGTATACAAGAACGCCGCCTGACTCGCCAACTTGGCCAACAAGCCCACCTTCTTCCCATCCACAATCTGCTTCTCGAGGAACACTTCCTGCGCCTGAGCCAGCATGATGCTGATCAGGCACTTGACCGTCTCTCTGCCCAGATCCTGACTGGGCGCGTGCAGAAAGTTCTCGTTGATGTAAGTAAACATGCCGGCCGAGGCCTGAAACGAGTGGTACGCCGTCTTGAGCCCGACTTCTTCGTGGCGGTTCTGGTGCGCGGCGTGGCAGGATAGGACGGCGGAGATGTTGAAGATGATGCTTGCTTTTTCGTAGGCGAGGGAGTACTGGGAGGTGGGTTTGTGCGTGAATGCGTCGAACCTAGTCATGTCAGCCCATATCCTATCCCACTCGGATGTCCTGGGCATACCACGTGAAGCTGATCTTGATGTGGTTCTCGTCGACCGGAAATCTGAGATCTAGCAACTCCAGCTGGCCGTAGTATCTGTAGAGCAGATCTCTCCCGGCTGCGCTGTCCTTCCCTGCGCCCCGCATGTCCTGCCGTAATCGATTGAGAGTCGCGCATTCCTCGGCGTAGCGTTCGGGGTCATCGCCGTAGGTCTGCCGAATGTAGCCCTTCAATGGCTGGATCCAGTCGATCTCGTTGGTCTGCTTCAGCGGCACTGAAATCATGGGTATTTGGGTCGCCATGATGCTGCCTGGCGCAGCGTGCGCTGCAATTGGGTTGGGTTTGGTGAGTGGTATGATGGAGTGACAGGTACAACTGAGTTTGGAATATACGACGGAAACGTCGAATGTGCTATAGAAGTAGATGATGTTATGGCCGTCGCGCGGACGTGGGTCGCGCCGAAGGCATACAATCAATAGTCCAGCGGGATGACGGAGGTTACAAGGATGGCGCGGCCAAGCGTGCTGTTCACCAGCGGGCGTGTTTTTCGTGGCACTGCATGCGTTGGCTCTGTGTTCCTTCACTCTTTCTATCAGGGGGCTCCGGGGATGCCCTCGGGATATAGCGATGTCATGCAGTGGCGGTGTGATCAAGTCAAGTCGTGGTGTGTCGGAGCTCGAGGGTTGCTTGGGCGGGGTTACACAATACAGGCCACTGCAGCTCACACGCATAAGCACGCCGGCACCCAAACCATGCAGTCTACGAACGCCCAGTCGAGCAGTCTAGGCGCTCAACACCATGATCTCGTCGTGATAGCCGCATTTGGGTCGGTCACATACTCGTTAGGGGACTGAAGCCATAAAGCCTGATCCCAGCCGTGCTGTTCGTCCCCAGCCAATCAAGTCCTCGAGAGACCGCAGCATGGCTTCCCCCGAAGCGCTCGGTGCGGAGCGCTGTGGGTGGTGGAGCGGTCCTGTTCTGAGCCGTGGAGGAAGCCTCACGACCAGTACGCGCCCTGAGAAGAAAGTCGCAGTCACAAGGCCTCTGCAAGATATGGAAGCGCTGAGCGACACGAGTCGGTGAAGAAGATTCGCGTTGATACAGTTCGCTATTACACAGTTCCTGTACTAGGTATACTATACAAATCAGAGTCGAGAGGCCAACGACTACAGTAAATACTTCTCCTATACATCTTGACCCCAGCTCACCGCCAAGCTCAACGCCAGAAATGCTTTGCAAACATCCCGTCCTTTTGCGGACAGGAGACACCACCTTTGCGCCAGTCTAAGTGTTGTACAACGCGTCAAATATACACATCAGCATGGAAGTGATCATGCCGAACCAGAGCCCTTCTTCGGCTCCCCGTCCTTCTTTTCGCTTGTCGACTCGTCGGTCTTCGTCTGGTCCTTCTTGAGGTGGTTGTGTTGCCCAGTGAGGTTGTGCCATGCGCTCTTCAGGAAGCCTTCGTTCTTGTGCTCGTCTGCGGTCGACGCGGTCGAGGGCTTCTCAGCCGCTGCTTGTGCGTCCTCCTTGAACTTGCCGAGGTTCATAATCCTCTTTGCGCTCTTGTCGCCCATCTCGTCGGCTAGCATCTCTAGAATTGTCCGCTGGTTGACGGAGAGGTACTTCGGCATGTTGACCTTGAACTCAACCCTCAGGTCACCCTTTCCAGCGCCGCGGCGCCCGGTCGAGAGAACCTTCATGCCCATGCCTGAAAGTGTGATCTTGTCGCCCGTCCCTGAGCCGGTGGGAACCTTGACCATGACTTCGCCGTCCAGGGTGGGTACCTTGATCTCTCCTCCGAGAACGGCGGTTGTGAGGGGGATGGTCGCAGTGTGCAGGATATCGGAGCCGTTGCGCTTGAACTTGGAGTCTGCGGCTACGCGGATGAGAACGTAGAGGTCGCCCTTCTGGCCGCGCACCGTGCCGCCCATGGCTTGCCCTGTGAGCGGAGCATCACCCTCGCCGTTGACGCGCAGACGCATGCCGTCTTCTACGCCGCCGGGAATGTCGATCTGTATCGTCTTGCGCTCCTTGATTGCTCCGTCGCCGCCACAGGTTCCGCAGGATGAGCCGCGGGGTATCGCGAGTCCGGAACCGCCGCACTGGGAACAAGTTGCGCTCATGTGGAAGCCACCCATGCTTGTTACTCTTTGTCCGGTACCGCCACAGCCCTTGCACTCGGCCTTCTTAGCTCCGGCCTTCATGCCGTTTCCTTTACATGTCCCGCACTCGACCATGGGCGTGATGTGAATCTCCTTCTTGACTCCCTTCGCTGCATCCAGGAATGAAATGTTCGTTTGTACTTCGATGTTGTCACCGACCATGATCTCTTCCTGGAATGGGTTCCTCCTTCCGCCGCCTCCTCTTGGCCTTCGACCGCCTGCGAATGCGCCGAACAGGTCCTCGAAGTTGATGTCCTGGAATCCGCCTTGGCCACCGAACCCGCCCTGCGCGCCGCCGAATCCACCGAAGCCTCCAAAACCTCCGCCGAAGGGATTGCCTCCACCAGCCGCTCCGGGGTTGAATCCTCCGTTCTGGTCGAACGCTGATGCGCCGTACGAATCGTACTGCGCCTTCTTCTCCTTGTCGGACAGAATCTCGTATGCAGACTGCGCAGCGCTGAACTTCTCCTTCGCGGTGGGCTCCTTGTTGGTATCGGGGTGGTATTTCTTCGCGAGGCCGTAATACGCTTTCTTGATGTCGGCAGCCGAGGCGTCCTTGTCGACGCCGAGAGTCTTGTAGGGATCGGCCATTGCGTACGAGGTGGGTGATGCATGGAAGAACTGAGCGATGTTAGCATATTGTCCAGCGTGTATTGTCCAGCGTATACTGTCCAGCGTGGAGAGTATTGGGATGGCATACCCGTATGGACGGCGAATTCTGTGTCTGTGTCTGCGCAGCCAGAGCCGGTCTCTTCATGTGCGCTCTCACATGCGACATGTTCCTCCGCTGACACTGTCGAGAGGCGGACACTATGCGCGCAGGAGCCACCGCCTTCAGCGGCATTGGGCCGACGAAACTCATCTTAGGAATAGCAAGAAGCGCTGAGAATGAGCGTGATGGTGTTACAATACAAAGATGCTGTATGGACAACCTCGATATCGACGGGGTGGATGAACTTTTGAACGGTCGGTCCCTGGCGACCAATGACGCGCGACGAGCTTTGGCCCTCGGCAAGTGGGCGCGTCTTCCAGCACCTTCGAAAGCAGCGCGGCTCTAGCGCAACACTGCTGTAGTGGATACATTGGCGTTGATGAATACAGTCTCGATATCGGTGTCGAGTGCGCACAGTTCGAAGGCCACCTTGTCAGATCAAACGCGGTGAGTAGCTCAGGTTGAGGCTCAAGTGGCACAGTAGAACAAAAAGCTCTCGGTAAGCGTCCCGAGTATTGTAGACCATCTCGCAGATCTCGTAATACCAAATAGCTATTGTAACATGATTTCCAGTAGACAGTATCGTTTGCAGGCCGTCATGGCACGTTGTATGTGTAATCGTCATTGACATATCCAAGTCTTGCGTGCCAGAGCAAGACAAGCTCTATCCATGGGCATGCATCACCCAACCGAGGGCGTGCGTATATCCTAAACGCCTCCCAAAATGCTCATGCTCATTATATCTAGTGGTCGCTGGCTATCGTGCCACGACTGGGTATCGACGTAAAGTTTCGAATGCGAAGCGAAGGTGTGTGTGCGTGGTGTGAGCAGACTCGAGCTCACTTGCGTTGCGGCGTGAATCGTACGCGAAACTCCTTGTCTGGTGATAGACCGTCAGTGTTTGATACGTGCCACGCTCGCACACCGTGTACACACCCTGGTGTTTCGTCTTATACAGCCAGTCCACAATGACGTCGCTCTCGGTGACTCCAAGAGCATTGAAGTTCTTCCTTACAGCCATTGCCAGCTGATCTTTGTGTACTCGTCGTTTCGATTTGGCGCGTGCCATGGTCGGCGACATGCGTCCTATGCCCTGATGGAGCACAACGTGGCTGAGTGGGTTCTTGAAGGTCGACGGCGTGTCGAGGCGGTAGGCTCGTCGGTAGCCCTGGAGAACGGCAGGCTCTTGAGACGTCCATTTCATCTGACGGAGAAAGTAGTGTCAGCGTTTGGTGCGCATTGCAGTGGAGTAGTGTGAGGTTAGAGTAAGCGGAGAGAAGTGAGGCTGTGACTGACATTCGAGGTGTCGAGGTCATTTGACGTCTGACCACTGTTGGTAGACGCATTGTCGACCTCTTTCAGACTGCTTCCATTGGTTGGGTGTGTGCCTCCAGTGCGACGTCCGCGGGCATTTGTGTTGTGGAGCTTCTCCTTCAGTGTCTGGACGTCCTCGGTGTTGCGCTTCGGCGGCATCGTGAGGTCAGGAAAGTGAGTGATTGACGGGTCTTGAAGAGCTAAAGAGGCTCATAAATGTATTCGAGGGTGTCGGAAGCCGTGCACAAACTCCGCACATGTACGCTTATCGTAATCAGCCGCGGTGGTGAGGGAGAGGCTCGTAAAATGAATAATGCAGGAGCGGGCACGGACTAGCCCATGACGTTTCTCAGGGTTCAGTCGCGCTTGCCGAAATCATCGCGCGTCTAGTGTCAGGAACCGAATTGCTCCGTCTTCCCCTGCAGTCAACACTCACGATGCCGTCGACGCGTCTGAAAACATCGAGACATCGCGGAAGATGTCTTCTCTGCTTGTGCGCCTCGTGTTTGTGCGCTCCCGGCTTGATGGGAGCACATTGTCGCGTGCGCGTTGGAGTCCTCCAATCCGCCCGTCTTGTCGACCCCCTCGCACGTGATGGCATGTCGAGTGCGAACATGAAGATCAGCACGTTGGTTGGTAATGCGATGTCCAGGAGTTCTAGTCGAATTGCAGCTTTATGCTCAAAGACCACAGAAGAGTTGTCCCTGAGGTCGCCTCAAAAGAAGGAGCATGTTGCTGATGCCTAGTCCGTACGGGGCCGTAAATGCGGAAATGGTAAGCCGAGAAAGAGTCGAAATGACCCTGGAAGATGCACTCCTCAATCGCGAAATGAGATGAATTGACAAGAGCTATCGTGAGTGGGGAAGACGTTGAGATGCTTCGGCGCTACTCCCAAAGTTCGCGTTCTGGTGCATTCGATCCAGCCGAGTCCCCGCCGTATCATTTGGACTTACAGATTTCACATGCATAATACAGCTGTCAGACTGTAGCCGCAAGACCGGGACTACGAAACACAGCGTCGACACGCATCAGCTGAAGGGATACTTCAAAATGATACTCAGACTCAACTCTTCGGACATGCAGCAAAGAGCTACAACACGCAGGCTAGAAAGTGCATCGACTCCATCATCACAATGACTGCCAGCATATACGCAGATGCATGGAAAATACATATCAGCTTGTCTGGAATACCAATTGCTACTCGATCAAGATCTGAGTGAGTCTGACCATTGACAAATATTGGGACTTCGTCTCATTGTTTGATCGATTTCTCCTTCACCTCTCGCCTCACACAGGACATCGCGGGCTCACCGCCACAGACCTCAGAGCTGCAGGGTCTTGGTAGTAGTCTATATGAACTCACGCTTCTTACACCAGACCATCTCTCCTACATTCTACAACATTAGATTTCAGCATCATAGCGCAGACATCTCTTACACTTCCAACTCGCAACGAATACGATAATTGCTCAGCAGCTTACGCATTTCGGTCCTAGAAAGTCATTAATTCGACCCTGAACTGCAGATCCACTCCGTCTTTCACCTTGAGAACTGACACGTCGAAATCAGGCAGCGGCTCCACAAGGTATATACCTTACCCGCTAATTCCAACCTTCTTTCTACTGATATCCTTCCTAACAGCTCTTGATCCTCAACTTCTCCTACTCTCTTACCAGATATCCTCGTACATTATCCACCAGTACTACAATTTTTACTGACGAGTCCTCGGCGGCCATCGTGATTCACCACAACTTCAATCCCGGCGCTCGAAACTTCAACCCCAACGGCAGCTTCATGAATAATCTACAGGGAAGCAGCACGCCCCACCAGGTGAGCGCTCCTCTTTCTCCGTACCTCGAGGCACGGGTCCTCAACTTGGAGGAAGCACACGGCGATCTGCGCGGTGAAGTCGACACGCTCAGAGACCTGTACCACAGCCTCTGTAACTCTTTTGGCAAAGACCAGACCGCACGCGCCAGTCCTCCTCAAGATCTGAACCTTGACAAGTCCCGTCAGAGCGCCATGCAATTCAAGCAGGAGCTTGAGCGACTGAGCCGTGAGGTTCGGGGGTCAGTGAACGGTGATGCTGACGAGCAGAAGGCGAGCGGTCGCAATACACCAAAGACTAACGGTAGCGTACCTCCACACATGAGAGCTGCAAGCATTACCAGTCACGGATCTGGTCAGAAGTCTCTGCCGCCACACCTGCGTGGTGGCAAGCAGTCTAGCGCTGTCAATGGCAATGCGTATGTTCAACGTTTCCATGATTGGATGATCTGCTTACTGACTTGGCTTGCAGGGCTCCTAAGCTTTCGGTGGACGCTACGAAGCACCAGTACGAGCCTCTTATTACAGATGGGCCAGTTGACACCATCGTTCGGCAGACGACAGTCCCCGCAGCAGCTCCTAGTCCTCCATTGTCTCCTACCACGACTGTTCAGGGTGATGTTCCCGTCGTCGAAGCCGAAGCCCTCTCGCTCAAGGAATGGAAACCCTGCTACCTCACTACACTGGAATCGCTGCCCGCCGACGTCCGCACCAAGATTCCTGCGCAGCAGAACATGGCAACTTTCACCTTCGATATGTTGCAGAACACATTTGGTGGCATCGCGTGGTCTCCTGGCCTACGATACATCAACTCACCCGGCGCCTGTCTGCTGAAGAACCGCACTTACTACATGCTCGACCCGATGCATGAGCCGTACCTGCCTAAGAGTCCCGGAGAGCACGGGGCCAAGTTGACTGCTTTCTTCAACAAAGCTCCCGAGGAAAAGTTTGACAACCTCCCTGAGGGCACCAACTCTTACACCGATGTACCTATGTTCGTTCAAGTTTCACAAGGGCGCTATGCGTACTTCGGCAACTACTCGCAGACACGTTGGTCAGACAAGCTCGACAACGATACAATGAGGGCTCGAGTGCCTCAACATGTCAAGGAGCATATCGCGAAGGACTTGGCTGCTACACCTCGTGAAGACTGGGTCACCCGAGAGCTCAAGAAGCACTTCTTCCCAAAGCCTGAGTACGAAGGAGCTATTCTCGCCCCCACCAGCGATGACACCACCACTCACACAGTTGACGAGGAGAAGCAAAACAGACAGGTGGCCAGCGATATCAAGGACTACATTCAGGAGCTTGCTGAGTGGGAGCGTGAGGCCAACATGAAGACTGCCATGATCAAGACTGACTTCGTCCTCAACGCCTTCGATGCTGTAAGTTGCCCTAGCATGAGTATCTTTAACGATGTGATACTGACTTCTTCAAGGCTGATGCTGACGACCCACCCGCTCTGCGCCTCTGGTGGGAGTACCTCGAGTGCGTCGACTGGAAGTTGGACTTCTACAACATGCTCGTTGGATTCCAGGCTCGCGCTAACAACACCAAGTAAGCGCTCAGCACCTGCCTGTGCCACACCATGGAGGGCTTCTACTCGATGCCTTACGACAACAGATGCCCATGGAACTGAACCTTACGAAATTTGCTTGTTTGATTTGGCACACGACATAAGATCCTTTCGGCCGGTGATTTGATATGGCGATCATGGAATGGATGGCCGTTGGAGCATTCGACTTGGAGGACTCGACTGGCAAGGGCTCACCGCTAAGCTTGAAGTTCACCTTTCGGTCTTAAAATGCACCCCACGACTTGCGAACGACTTGGGTTTAGGTGACCAGCTTTTCATAGTCAATAAAGGTGCTTTTCTGCTCACCATGCAACACCGCACTACATCCCCAAAGAGTTAAATGTCAAGGCTGAACTACCCCACATACGACACTAGCGCGGTTACCGTACCTTACATCTTCAATAATTCACACCTACAGACCTTTCACTCTTCACAGCTAGCGCCTTACCATTCAGCCTTTTTCTCCAAGGCCACCCACCTTACACACTTGCAAAATGTCTGAGGCAGAGCGTCCCAAGGTTGGCGTAGGCGTCGTCATCCATGATGGTGCAGGCAACATCATCATGGGCGAAAGGGCTGGAAGTCACGGCGCTGGTACGTCTCCTTCTATCTTAGATGATCGATCCTGGGGCCTTGTAGATTCAGGGATGCATTTATGAAGAATCCAAGATATATGTGCTGACTTACCTCAGGTACCTTTCAATGCCCAGGCGGCCATCTCGAATATGGCGAGTCCTTTGCCGAAACTGCTGCAAGAGAAAGCTTAGAGGAGACGGGTCTTGAGATCGGGAACATCAAGCTCCTGGTTGCGACTAATGATGTGTTCGGCGAGGGGAAGCACTACGTAACCATATTCGTAACGGCGGAGATCACGGGAAAGAACAAGGTTGCTCAGGTGAGCTACAGTTTTATTTCCTTACGAGAGTATCAGAGGGACACCAGAGAAGAAAGAAAACTGCAGATGAAGTTCATTTGAGCTGACACCGTAAAGGCAATGGAGCCGCACAAGTGCGCCAAATGGGAGTGGATACCTTGGAGCCAGATGTGGACGTGGGCAGGAGAACAGGCGAAAGCTGAGAAGGAAGGAACGGAAGTCAAGAAGCAGATGTTTTTACCGTTGGTAAACTTGTGGAGGGAGTATCCCGAGCTGGAAAACGCGCTGATCGGGAGATGATTTGATATAGGTGAGGACAAAATGGGGCATTCTGGACGCTTCGTCGTACCTTTGCAAGCCCTCGCACCATCAACCCTGCATCTTCTTCCAGTTTCTCGAGATGCCGTCTCGAATCCAAGAGTTACGACTACAACTATTTCTATGATCACGACATTCGGTACCGGGTGCTACCCGACATGCTGTACCTGCGGCATGTATGTGTCGCCTCCGTTTATTGGCAGATCTCGTGTGCAGTAACCACAGCAGCCCGCAACTGCATGTGTGATACGACGCTGCTCATCTGTCCTGCACCTCGAGTCCTCTTGTCAGTTGACAACAAAAAGGAATTTGGGTGACTAGTGGCGTCAAAATCTTTGTATGCGTGCTGCGCAAGTCTCACTCTGCGCATCTAGTCCCCGCCATCTTTGACCAACCTGGCTTTCTACTTGTCTCGAAGAGCAAAGCACACCAGCCTGCTGGGCCAAGCGCCACACTCCGCTTTCGAGATGAAGGCACGCGCTCAGCTGTGGTGTTGACTGCGCCGCACAGAAGTTTCAGCGCTCACTGCATCAAATCGCCTCAACCTGCTACTGGCGCCGGGCGTGGCGCCCATCAGAACAGCTGCCTAGAGCCTCCTCGTTTCTTTTAGGAGCTTCTCCGGTTACCGAGCGACAAAAGTAACGTCTCTCGTGATGCGCAGAGGCGCTCGTAGCTACCGCTGCTACTGCATGCCCCTCCGGACCAACATTCTTCATGATGTACTCCATGTGGTTGGTTGCGGCTACACCACCTATCGCAACACTCACTGGCAGGTTATACAGGCCCTGCTATTTGATCTACAAGGACAATTCTTTAGGTTTGCGTTCCTGCATGCAGCCTCCGGGTTCACAAGCCGAACGGTATCGATAGCAAGAAGGGACGTCAACACCACCGCGACTGTCTCACCATACTGCGGATATTTGCACCAATTTCCAAGTATTCGTATCTGGCGACGCCCCTCGAGGCTGGGCTCGAACACAGCAATGTGTGCCTGCGTGATCCACGCCACTCTCTTTCTGGTGGTCACCATAATGGTGCAACTCTGTTTCACCGCTGCACGTCTACTGAGAGGGGTAAGTGCCAGGCACAGATGCGGGTTGACATCTTGCATGTGGCAGGGATGCTAGATTTGGCAGCTCTCCACATCTGGCACAACTGTCAGGTACGTCCATGGGCAACAGCAGGCGCAAACGCCTTCAGCAGGTACCCCACCTCATCTCAGGTTCATATAAAAGGTACGACTGTCCGTGACACTCTTTCCGTACCGCTCCAGCTCTCTACTTTCCTTTCACTATACGCTGCGTGAGGCAAGCTCCTCCGCTACCACTTTCATTCACTTTCACTTTCCAACTACATACTCGCTCCTGAACACTCTCTTTGCTCGCTTCACACTCGAGTCAAGCGCAGTGATGGTCACTGCCACTTCCTTTGTCGTTGCTTGTAGCATTTTCGCGTTTTCCTTCGCCGCTCCAGTCCGCAACAATGTCGCTACTCGCGCTATGGTCGCACGGGACGCGTACATCATGTTTGGTGGAGATGGAACCATGGCCACTGGCTGGCCATCTCGCGAGTTGTGGCTGAGCTTCAGCGATGCTTGGTGAGTCTCACCTCTCTTACATGGCTATAGTGTAATAATGAATCCATAGGGACGCCAACCTCAAGATCATCCAGAACTCTTGCCAGGTTGAAGGCTGGGGTGAGAACAACAGCGATGCCGAGATACAAGCCATCAAGGACAGCATCACTGGAGAGTCCAAAGCGTCAGGCATTCCCAAGGTATGCAACTTCCCTCGACTAGCTCGAAGTTTCGACACGTACTAACCAGACACAGGAGTTCATTCTTGCCATCATGATGCAGGAGTCCAAGGGCTGTGTGCGAGCTCCCACCACCCGTTGGAGTCACGACAACCCTGGCCTGATGCAGAGTGCTCAGGGCAAGGGAACTTGTAACCCTGACGGCAACCCGATCAGCCCATGCCCTGCGACTACCATTCGTCTCATGATCCACGATGGCACTGATGGCGATGGCCTTGAGACGACCTTGATGCAGTGTTTAGAAGACACCGGAACCACTGATGACAGCAAGTGGTACAAGGCCAGTCGTATATACAATGCCGGCAGGATCACTGACAACAACCTGGGCATTGGTCCTACTCCATGTTATGCTTCTGACATCGCCAACCGTCTCACAAGTCCCTTTAATTGGAGTCCCTGCGACAACGCTATTATCGGCACGCTTTCAAGCGCTCAAGGTACCGTCGCCCAAGTCAACAACGTCCCGGATGATGCGACTCCTACGACTACCACCCCTGCTGCCTATTCTACCACGCCTGCACCTACTCCTGGCGCATTTGCCGAGGTCAACAGCTCCTACCCTGAGACTGATTCTGCTAAGCCTGATCTCATCATTAGCGGCGCCGCGACTGGATGTACCGACTACTACACTCCTCAGTCTGGCGACACTTGTGCCTCCGCACCGGTCGACTTCGCTACCTTTCGCGAGCTCAACACGCAGCTCAACTCCGAGTGCACCAACCTTTGGGCTGGATACGCCTACTGCATTGCTGTCTGAGCGTTTGATATATTTGTCACATGTGTTCGATCTTTTGGAGCTTACTTTCCCATATCACGCTGAGCGGTGCTCGATGTTGGTGCATTTCACTTCATTTCTGTACATACCCATTTAGGGCAAATTTGGCCTCATAGCAGTGGCGTTTCTTTGTAGAGCTTAATGATATATGACGGAAGGAAAGACATGTTCACAACAATCCAGACTATCTCTTGACCCTCAGTCCTCTTCTTCTGACGGACAGTCACAATACAGATCGCAGATACGGATGACCGCACATGCAAGGTGTTCACTACCGTTCCACGCGCCCGTCACAGACTTTTCCCATCCACATGTCTCCGTTGCAGCGTTTGCACATCGACATCGTGCAACATACGCACGTTCAGCGCCTTGACTCCCTCATAGAAGCCAGGCTCGATACTCTCGGCCATCAGACTGGATCCGCAGTGATTGCAGAAGTAGTGCTGCACTCTGCGTTTGCCGAATGTATATTTCTACTTCACGTCAGCATTCTCATGCCAACAATTCCATCTTCCACTTTGTTCCTTGTCGCCGCAGCCAACTCCTCACAGCAGTCCAGCGATGATCATTCAATCTTACCAACAAACATAGCCTTGGAGAAGGGGAGTAGATGATGAGATTTTGACGTGCCTGTACGTTTTCGCTGTCCAGTCCATCACGTTCGAACTCAATACATTCATTCTGCACGTACACGTTGAGATAGCCGTTGCGCGCGCAGATGCTGCAATTGCACTCTACGACCCAACTCTCAGGATCATCGAGCGGCGAGGAAAGAGTGACGGTGTACCGGATGGTGCCACAGTGGCATGATGCCGTGTACTACGAATGGTCAGTGTTTTTGAAGTCGTAGTCGAATTCAAGTCGAGAAGCTAAGTGGAGGTGAGGATGGGGCGACGAAGACTAGATACAGCGAGTTTGGCTTGGGTCGCATATAATTCCATGGGAGAAGCGGATGTGTGTGATGGAGATAGACAATATCAATGGCGTCTTTGGTTGAACGAGTCGTAACAATGGGAAAATGAGTGAAGCTCTGTACTTTTTTGCTACTCCGCGTAGATGCTGTGGCCATGGAGTGTACGTTCGGATATTGAAGGTTGGATGGCTGGGCGCGCTGGAGGTTGATGGCGATAGAGAAGGGGTGCAGTGGGAGGAAGTAGATGGGATACGTTTTGGCGGTTGTGAGGGGCAGCGTCTACTGGAGATGCTGCTTGTTTTGTGGCAAGAAACTAATATATCGTAAGGAGCACTGGAAGTGATAAACAGCGCGAGAGGAAATCTGGTGTCAGGTATTGTAGCAAAGTAGTTGAATGGGAAAACAGGAAAGGTGCTATGCAAAATGTGAGTGTATGATTGCTTTTAGCTATTAACAGCTCAGGAACCCCAAATCTTTCAACTCGTACGTCGATCTCTCTTTCTTCTCTGACTACCATGTTAAACTCTAACTTAACGTGCAGCTGTGGCTGCTGGATGGTGAGCCTAATCGGCCCGTTGCAAACAATAACTTGCTCTTACCGTGTCTCTATCTTTACCTGCCCTCGGGGTAATGTTGTGCTGCATCACTGCATCGTTGGTTGATGCGAAGCCATAAGGGTCTTCCCAGCTTCACTACAATGTGTATCCTAGGAGGAGCTGGCTATAAGAATAGCACAGAGGTGTCTCAGCTCGACCTCTGTTCTCGCAAATGAGAGTGGTCGTAGCCGGCGATGGTGCTGTATCCGTTCCTCGGGGCTGAAGTAGAAGTTGGAAAGAGCTCGTATTCAGAGCGGGATATCATGTGTGTGGCTTCAGGCCTGCATGGCAATCGCTAATTGTTGCCAGCTCGACGGCAAGGCTGCAGCATCAGCGCGAAACAAAGAGCTTTCGGCCGCTGTAAGCTCGTAACTCGCTTTCCCTTGTGTGTTTCACGATGCTTTTGTTCCAAGTATAACGGAGCCTGAGGTCGTAGATGCTCGTAGCCGGCAATGTCACGCTTTCCTCGCTCTTCAAATGCTGACTACAGTCCTTCGTCTGGCTGCGCAGCGAAAGGTTGCATTTGTGTGGAACTGGTCATGGGAGTGTGGGTCGTAGCAATTCGAGATCAGTGCCATGGGAAGGGAACTGATGCCCATCAAACCAGATGACTGCCAAGCGGGCGCAGCATCATGAACCAAGAACCGCGACTCTTGGTCGACTACACTGTGTCGCACCGTTTACAGTATGACAGCATCTCTCGTAAGAGCCACCGATCAATTGTCGCGGGGAAGCTCATCGAGCGTTGCTTTGTTGTGTCGCGTGCGGCAGGGCCTTTCTGGTAGGCAGAAGCTTGGATGGGCCAGTGGTGTTCGATCGTCTAAGAACAACATCAGCGGACAAGACACCCAGAAATACCATCTTGCGATCAAGCTATCGGCGATGCAAAGAGTGTTCGCATTGCTGCAAGCATTCGCTCTCCACTTTCGAGTTCGCATTTGGATGTGGGTTTGGCGATCTCCATTCGAAAGTTAGGATTTTGAACCAGCGACAAGGCCACCCGCGTTGCTCGGCTGTCGGCTGCGTAGCGCAAAGCAAGCATTCGATCGACACAAAAGGTCGCGTGGCTGTACTGGCCACATCTTGTGTTGGTGATCAACAGGAACGAACACGCATCGCGATGTGCTCAAGAGTCGGCAGCAACGACCTTTTGTCGGACGCTCCGCTCGGTCGAGAAGCACAGATCAGTCTCGTACTCGTATCTCGCAGGGCTGAAACACCGGGACTTGTCTGGCGGGAAGGAGTCAGCAAGCCTTGAAAATGGTGGCGCCGGCGGTAATAATAGCTGGCCTGAAATTGTCAAGAACACTACATTTGACGACAAGTCGGTCGCATTCGTTTCCGTCAATAATTAACGCCCAGATCCACCCAAGAGTTGTTGCTAGCAAAACTCTTGCCAGCGGAGGGTGGCTCGGCGCGCTGCCCCGAGCATTTCACCGAGGCATGATTTGAAGGAGTGAGGTTTTACAAGTGACAAAACGAAGCCTTGGATGCGCAATCTCACGTCGTAAGGGATGATGTCTAGCCATCGTGTGGACGTAAAGCGTATACGCGTGCTGTCTTCGGAAGACTATGTTTGAGCTGTCACCTGAAGGCAGTTAGCCCCCGACGCTTGAGGAAGTTAGCCATGAATCAAAGGAAGTTAGAACTGCAAATAATCGTCCGCGAGACGCCGCGCGGGCTTATAGCCGCTGCTTGGCTTATGTCAGAGCGCCATCAATGGATCATCCGCAACTTCGACGAAGAGTTGATGGTGTCGCGTGACTGCTTTGGTGATGATGCTGGGGAACAGATATCATGAATTGAGGAGACGCAGGTCCAGAATTGCAACCCCACAAGCGGTGCAAAGGCTTCAGCAGCGATCAAGCCTGCCGGACAATGACGCGGCGCTCTTTCCAAACCTTGAGCATGACGCGTGGACCATGCCAAGACTAAGAAGAATTGGGGCACACAGGGATGAACAGGAACCGCATTGAACAACACCCGTTATCCGGTGCTTCTCCACTTATCTCACCTCTCCTTTAACTGCTGTGACTTTCTTTGGTCCTTTACACGTTCTTTTGGTGACAACTCTGGGATCCACGAGGGAAAGACACACGACACTCCTTTCGCACCCGGGCCTACTGCAGCACTACAGCGAATCCAGGACTCCCACTACTTCGACCTTGTCGATCTTGACGTCTAAAACCGGGCTGTGCTTACCTGGACGTATAACCCATGACCTCTGCGTGATCGCTACCTTCAAGACACATCTTGTACACCGCAAACATCTTGCCCTTCGGTCACGCGACACAAATACAACATCACCCATCCCCCGGGATAGCTTCATCTTGAAGCTATGAACTCGACAGTCATGGCCAACGAGCCAGAATGGAGCAGCAAGCCTGCGTGGAAGCTACCGGGCTGGGCCGAGCCTCTGGTGAGTATCTCGAGGTTGCCTGCAGGCTGCCTGAACAGACATGGGACGGTTCGCTAACGCTCGTATAGATGGTAGCGAGCATCCTCTTTGGAGCGATGGCCCTCACACGACGACGGAACTTCAGAATATTCGACAGGTCGACGAACAGCAACGTTGGGTATCTCGACAGCGATTTACAGGGCTCCTCAGATGCGCTCCTCTCATATCCGTCCGATGACGATAGCGACCTCATAGATGTCAACACAAGCAAGTACCCGCCCAAGGTACGGAAGTGGTGCTGTACCAAGGTTGCCATGCCCAACACATCGCGCTTCAGGAACAACATACACAGCCGCATCTTGCAGCGCTTCCCGTTCCTGATCGAGATGTTCTACTGGGTCATCAACTATGCGTTCTACCGCATGACTGCAGTTCTTTCGGCCAAGTTGTTCGCGGGAAGGGGGATTTGGGATGTCTCGCAAGAGCACGGAATCGCAGTATTGGAGGCTGAGGAGCACGGCATGCTGAGCTTCCTCTTTCCCATCCGCGAGCAGAGCGTTCAGCAGTGGTTCATGCATGGTCACCAGGACGCGCTCACTGTGCTCAACAAGTGCTATGCACTCATCCACATTCCTGGCACTGTTGGGTGAGTAAACCATGTGGATCATCAGAAGGTGCATAAGCTAACAACCTGCAGCTTCATTTGCTGGTACTACTATGTTGCGCCATCTTTCGACACATTCGCTGTTGCCCGCCGAACGATGACTTTGACCAACTTCTGCGCGTTCATCACCTTCGTCATCTACCCCTGCATGCCGCCTCGCCTGCTCCCCTCGAAGTACGGGTTCCTCGACACTGTCCGCCACGACGATGCGCAGAGCGTATGGATGAGCGGCAAGTACGTCAACCAGCTCGCAGCTATGCCATCCATGCACTTTGGTTACTCTTTCTGCATCGGCATGACCATGATCTACCACTCTGGACTATTCCGTCGCACACTCGAGCGCGGCGAGGTGCGCAAGAACGCTTTCTGGAAGCTCTTCTATCTGTTTATTGGCCTTGGATACCCGACCTTCATTCTGGTCACCATTGTTGCGACTGCCAACCACTACTTCATGGACGCCATGGTCGCGACCTCGTTCGTTCTGCTTTCGTTCCTCTGCAACAAGGCCTTCTACGTTTTCATTCCGCTCGAAGATCTCCTGCTCTACGTTATCCGGGCCGACAAGCCTATTCCCACGACCGGCGAACGCTTTCACGAGCGCGGCGGACGGCTATAGACGCATTAGCATTTGCGCATCCTGTTAAAAGCCTTCAACTATACTTCGACATGTATCCATTTTCACATACTTTGGCATAATCTGGCGGCATGGGAACGGCGTTGATTAGAGCGACTCTATATCCCCACGACTTTTGCATAGCGCACGTGTGTAGACACCTTGCATGCACTTCGGTGCAATATCATGATTACCCTACCCTACCATTCTCGTACTGTTGCACCTCAAGCCCATTTTTATGCTCACCTGTACCCGTCTTACTCGTAGCATAAGTATCAAGCTCACTACTACTGCGAACACCCACGGATACTATTCATTGCCAATACGACCCTTCTCGAATACCAATACACAGGTGACTTGTGCAGTCTGATAGTAGTGATACAGCTTGCAAAACGCGCTAGCACCGTTCCTGCATTAGCGCAGGTGAAGCTCTCCGCGCTCCACAACAGCTACCTGAGCTCACCAACAGCTACCTGAGCCCACCAACAGCTCCACCTTCGTTCCGCCTTTACTTTCTGTCGCACACACAACCGCTATGGCGGATTCCGAGCAGCACACCCCTATTGAGGGCACACCCGCCGCTGATGTCGAGATGGGCGAGGAAGTCGCGCCTGACGCGGGCCCCGGTGAGGAGGAGACGGGCATTACGGAGCTTGAGCCTGAGACGCCTAAGCTGGTGCTGTTCGCTGAGTAGGTGTGCTTCTCTTCCTATAGGATCTGGGGTGGGGGGAGAGCAGTGCAATTGAAGCAGTTGCAATTCGCCATGCGCCATGTGCCCAGACAATGCTCGATACTGGGCAGGCGCAGAAGAGGAGCGCGCAACAGGGTCGAGCAAGACTCAGTTGCGCAATGTGACGCGCATACAGCTCGTAGCAGCCTTATTCAATCTAAACTGCATCTCGACTTGAACGCATGGTTGACTGTGTGCCAGTTTGGTGAAGAGCCCAACCGTCGAGGTGCTCGTAGGCAGCGGAGAAGCAAAGACGACCTACTCTGCACACGAGGCAGTCATTCTCAAGTCGCCAGAGTTTGCCAAGCAGGTCGAGAACTTTGCGCCGGGAGGTGTACGTTCACCATCGTCTACAGACACACGATCGCGCACACTGACTCCAAGCAGCCTCGCCAGATCGTCTTTGTTGACTGCGATGTCGACGCGATGGGCTCCGTAATCGAATACCTCTACACAGGCGAATACTTCCCCAAGAAGACTTCATCCGCGCGCGACGCCCCTCTCGAGAAAGACCCCCGCCAACCCGTCCCCGACGACGACGGCTCAGGCCTCCTTGTCCACGCCCGCGTCTACACACTAGCCGAGCACCTCGGCCTCCCCGAACTCAAGTCCCTCGCACACTCCAAGATCCACCGCACAGCGTCCACCGCCAAGGGCGAGCTCGCATACGCGCGCTTCGTGTACAAAGAGTCCAACCCGGACGACCAGACAATTCGCAAGCCCGTGGCCGCTTTCTGGGCGACAAGAAGTTACAGCCTGCGCCACGATGCGGAGCCGGAGTTCAAGGCTATGTGTCTCGAGTTCCCGCAGTTCTCGTACGACGTGCTGCAGTTGGTGCTTGATCAGCAGGAGAAGAGCAGAGGCAGGGGCGGGGATGATGGGCTGGGCCGTGACGGGCCGGGGCGTGGTGGGCCCAGTGTGATTCCGGGGAGCAGCAGGAAGAGGGCTAGAGTGAGTCAGATCTAGATGCAATTGGCATGTTGCATTGTCTGATCTGGAATTTGCTCATGCTCCCGTCAGTAAACATTTCGCTTGGACTCTGGAAGCACCTGACTAATTTTATATACAGCTTGAGCCCCGTGTCAAGGTGCACGTTTCTGAGACGCCCAGTGGGGTCTGAAGCGGCCGTACACGCCTGGCATCAGCTTCAACGGCGCGGAATTCTTCCTTTGCCAGGTGGCGAGGGATGTGTAGCATCGTGTGCGGGTGCATTGCGGGCTCCATGAGGGTTTTTTGCTGGCAAGTGTACAGTATCTGTCTGCCCAGGTGCAACTATACATTAGCCACAGTCGCTGTCTTTCGGCATGTGACAACGCCCACGTAGATATCAACTACAGCAAACATTACGATCACAGTAGCCCTATGCTCCTCAGAAAAGGCAGCACATATTCCTCCACAACTTCCCTTACACTCTTCTCTTGCCCGTTCGTCTCTAGTGCGCTCCTCAGTCCCGTCAACTGAAAAGCAGTCTCCACCGCCTTCACATCATCCCTCGCGACTGTTGCGTTATAAGTCTTCGGCGTGACTGTGCCCAAATAGTCCAGAAACACTTCCCACCTCTTCCCATAGTACGGCCCCACGAGCCCACCCCATTGTTTGGATGCGTAGTCATTGATCTCGCCGTCTGGACCCCAGAGAGTGATCTGGTTGAGGGCTGTGTAGGCGTAGAAATCTGCTAGCTGCGTATTGTTGCCGGCGCGTGCGCGTGCGGACTCGAGCCATGTTGAGAGACGAAATTGTGGGAGGGCCAATAGTAGTATATCAAGAGTTTGCAGGTTTGCGAGGAGCGTGGTGGAGAGGGAGGAAATAGTGGATGTCGTGTTGGCGGAGGGGGTGGAAGAGTTCCAAGTACTGATCAGAGTGTTGTATGCGGACAGAAACTCATTGGCGAAGACTTGTCGTGTAATATCCACCAGATCGTGCTGGTATGCTGCGTGCTCCCACAGCTCCTCCTTTTCTTCAGCAGCCGAGAGCAAGAATTTCCACGCTTCAAACACGACCGAAGTGTTGTAGTTCAGTGTCGTGGGGTGGTGTCCTGTTCTATTCACTAAGCCGGTGATGTTAGGTGCGAGTTCGAAGATATTCTTCGGTACGGCGTTGGATTTTAGGTTGGTATTGTTGTAGGCGCTTGTTCGAAGCAACTCCCAAGTTGTGTAGAGGGAGGATGGGAGGCTGGGGGCGGAGGTGCAGTTGGAAGAGTGCGAGTAGCGCGTGGTGACCCAGTCGTGAAAATACTGCTTTGTATCGATGGGTGATGACTGCCATGCTTGGTCGAGGAGGAGGGAGTAAATGATCTCGTTGCCTTCTTGACCCTCTGGCGTGAGACCGAAGCCGACGAGGGAGGAGGAGCTGGCGAGGGCTTCGATAGGGTCTATCGTCACGTTGTCAATTTGTCCATACAGACCCATGTTGCCGCCGTAGTTGTGCAGCTCGTTCCATATCCACGGCTTGCCGTAGTAAGAATTCGTGCGCTGCCATTGCGGCTGTGATTCTGAGAAAAGGTCGAGGATGAGCATGTCAGAGTCTTCCTCAACGCCAGATAAATAAGCTTCGATGCGCTCCTTGGTCCAGAAATTTTCATTGGAGTAGAACAGCCAGCCTTGCATGACCCATACTGCTGCGGTGTTTGCGGCCTTGAGGGACTGCCACGTCCCGCGAGTGATGTTGCGGAGGTAGGATAGGTCGCCTGAGTACGGATCATTCTCGTTGTACTGGTCTAGGGTGTAGAACTGCGTGATGTTGCCGTAGTATTCGACCTGCTTGGAGATGACGCGATTCTGTAGATCTGCAAACAAAGGATCTGAGGGCTCGAGGAACGTTGTTTTTGTGTACTCGGGCGGGAAGTCCTCCCAACGGCTTCCATTTACTATTGTTGCATTGGGATATAGATCGGTCAACGCTCTTGGACCAAAACCTGTGAACGCCGGCAGGATGGGTGTCATGCCTAGCTCGAGCATCCTTTCCAGTATCTGCTTCTGCAACTCGAATTGTGAATCGATCCATGATCTTGGCAGTTCACCGCTCCAGGACCCTTGTATGTTACCAAGGCGGTTCCACGCCTGGAAGGCAGGCCCAGAGAAGAACGGTAGGATCTCGTCATCCGTGAGACCAATTTCTTGGAAAACATCCAATAGGATCTTTTCGTAGCCGACCCAGGCCAGAGGCAAGTTAACACCATGCAGGGCGAGCCAGTCAAGTTCGAGCTCCCAGTCTTTCCAGCTCCAGAAGGGCGTGGTGTAAGAGAATGTCACGGTGTTGAAGAAGTACCTCCATGGTACAGTACTCTGCCTTGTGATCGTGCCGTTGATTCCAGGCAGAGGCGATGCAGCCTTGTCCAGCTCATTACCAATGAACCAGTAGATGTCAACATGGGCCACATCTGATAAGTAATGGCGGAGTCCAACACTCAATGCGCTTAGGCTGCCTCCACAAATAATGACCGAGCCGTTGGAGGCTGTCGATATAGCGTACTTGCTATTCTGAGCCACCGAGGTATTATGGGCTTCCTCCAGATGGAACTCGAATTGGCCGCTATGCGAGGGCAGACGTCGTTCGATCAAGCTATACAATCCACTCGTCGACGTCGTCAGGGCTGTGGTCCAGGTGCAGGCCCAAAGGCCCAATATCGAGGTCCGCATGGTGGAGGTTGACAAGCTTTACCAAGACTCGGAAAACATTGAGATGCCAGCCATATCTTTTGATGGTGTTGCAAGCTAAATCCGGGTTGCTTATCCGGGTTACACTCCACTGGATGGCATCACCTTGCAGCAACCCATGTTGGCAGCTTAGCGACGCGGGCTGACGTCAGTGTGCCATCACTACCGCTCAACGCAGGGACGAGGTAGTGCGATCTTGATTTGACACTGCGCTACAGAGGTAACGACATGTTGTTGAGGAGACGGTGCGTGAAGCTGCGCCCTGTTCATATATCGACGGCTGATCGTGCGTTGGTCAATTGGGTGTAAAGACGTCTCAAGACTCAATGAGGAGCGGCTGCAGCCTTCTTGTGGCTAGGTTGTGAACGAAGTGACCCCCTGAGCGTCAGGTTTGCATGAGCAAGAGCGTGCGATAATAGCTCAATATTTCTTGTAAACCAGCAGAGTGGTAGAGCTGCGAGTAGAGACCAAGTCCACTTATCGTGCCGCGTAAGATCAGATAAGTATGGCTTCCGATTGGCCCAGAGCGTATGCACTCGGCAGTTTGATTTCGCCAACGGCCGTTGTTTGGATATGGAATACACGTAGAATCGCGCTACTCGAGGATACGAGCATCGTTCCAAAGGTCCGGCATTCAAGTAGCGTCCCATGACTGTCGATCGAGTTCATTTCGTACAAACACCACGCTTTGTCTTGAAGCATTCGCAGCAGCGGCACAAAGGAGGAATGCTTCGTGGCTGCGGTTTCTCCGGTCAGACTTGCTGTCCAGTAGCGGAGACTGATTCAGTGAACACGTGGATTCACAGCTCGAGAAGTTTCACTTCGATTGGCTGTATGTCGGGCGATCACCAGGTTTATAGCTCCCGGTGCCGCTACGTTCTGCAAAGCGGCTTGCCGTGAGGGTGTACCGCAGAAAATGCCGCTGGTCGGTCGACCATCGAATGTCGTCCCAGTTGGAAAAACTGTACATTAGCCTGGAACCGGCGAACAGTCATCTCTGTCAGACGTGTCGTCAGGTTCTGGCAGCCGAACAAGATTGCTTTTGCGAGGAGAGCTGGTGGGTAGCGGAGGTCAGAGGGGTGGAGGAAATCGCCCGGCGCATAGCCACGATCAGGAAGGAACTCTCCGGGCCCTGATGGTGATGGGGCATTCGTGGATGGAGCGATTCTAGCCCGCCGTCCCTCAATCTCCCTCACTGTGATTGCGCACGCCAACTCTCCACATGGAACCACCTGCAACCCACTCCAGCGTGTCTTTTGTTTGTTGTTTCGTTTACACTCCCTGTCAAGACCCTGCAGCTGAGCCGCGGCTGTCCCCCGCAGTGAACGCTTCGTTATACAGACCTCCCTTCGCTGCAACGACCACATGCAAATCGTCGTCCTTTTAATCCTTAATTAACCGCCAAATCACGCCTGCAACCTTCCACTACCACCAATTTCTCTCTCGTGCATGTGTCGAGTACCAGTATCAAGGGTACTGCCTCTTCTGCCTTTATCCTCCGGCCCGTCTCGCCATCTAGGGCTAGCCCTTTTCTGCACTGCACGAGACCTGCCTTGGGCTTCATCTGGTCTCGACGCAGCTCTGCAGCCTTCCACGTAGACGTCCTCATCGTGGCCCGCCAACACACCTGCAATTTCTCACCGCATTTGGGTCCGGCCTAATGGCGCGTCGGCAGTAAACGCGACTAAAACAGCCTCAATACGCTACCGCATGGCCTCCGCTGTTATAGTAGGTAGGCGTCCGTGCTTCGGAATCGATCGTGAAGTATCGTCGACCATCTTTTTCGAGGCCAGACGGAAATCCTCTTAGCGTCACTTGACCTCTCTAACGGCGAAATTCCGACATCTACCCTTTCCTCCGCCAAATATACCTCCATCGATTACCACCAACCAGTTCAAAATATCTCCTGACCGGAATTCCTTGCTACCTGACGCTGCGTATCAACACTTCACCGCCTGGACCCATCACAGCCTTACCATTGGAACCCATCACGCCTGAGCCAAATTACTTGCCAACATCAACCACCTTCCCGTGCTTATTTGAGCCGCCTCGAACATCGTTGCCACATCTGAACGACAACCTCCAGAAAACAGTCGCAAACGTTACTGACACCGAGTGTCTGCTTATATCAAACTCCCACTTCCCAAGTACATCGGTCAACTCCGGCAACATCAACGTCTACGTGTGTCCAAATGCTTCAAGTCTGTAACCCAACGCCTCATACTTTTCCTCAAGTGCATCCTGAGCACTTGATCTACCGGTTACGAGAAGTACCAACGAGAACCATGGAGCCACCCTCCGCACCAAACCCAGCTGGCGATGCCGGTGTCTTGCCAGATTTCGGAAGTTTAGCCCTTCAGGATGCGCCATCACCACCTGCGAACGAGGAAGAGTTGGATATTTGCACTATGCCGCGAGAGTCTGCCATGAAGTTGATCTCACGGGCGATCATTGCAATGGCGAATGCAGCAGGCGACGTGCCAGCAACACCTCCCCTAACACGGACCATTTCGAGGGACAACCTAGCGGCAATCAAAGGCCATCGTCGTGTAGCTTCCAGACCTGCGACACCCATTCCTGCCGAGAAAGAGAATCATCACCCAACACAGCTTTCGCCAGCAGAAGCAGAACACGATGAACCTACGATCGCGCATGACATCGGTGCCGGCGCGCTACCCGAGCACCTTCAACGGGCAAACATGGCAAGAAAGTTCTTCTCAAAAACTGTCCCAAAAGTGGGCGTCGAAGAGTACATGAACCGCATCCAGAAATACTGCCCACTCTCAACAGCTGTTTGGCTCGCCGCTGGCTCCTACATTCTCCGACTATGCGTCATTGATAAAGTCGTTCCTCTGACCTTTCGAACGATGCACCGACTCATCCTCGCATGCGCACTGGTCGCAATGAAAGCTCTCGAAGATCACCGTTGGCCACAGAAGCGCTTTGCTGCAGTCGGTGGCGTGGACGAAGGTGCACTTTGCCGATTGGAGCTCTGTGTTGAGTTCCTTTTATCATTCAACGTCCAGATTTTCTCGCCAGAGAAGTTAAAGGATCTTACAATCTCGCTACAAAAGGCGGGACAAGCAGCCACCATCACGAGTCGGCTGCCAACATCGTTCAACTTGAAGCTGGGCAACCCCAAGCTTCGACGAGAAGTTGCTGCGTGATCCTTGCAAAGCATTTCCTTGGTACATCTCATTTGTCCATTGCGTAGGATATCCCCATTGAGTATGCGACGGCGTTCAAGCAACAAAATAGCGGCATTTTGATATTCTTGTGTACGATAGGTTGCATGGCGGCCTTTTGAAACTTTTGGGAGCTGGCGGTTGACCACGCGCTTTCCCACACTGCATCATACCCACACGTTGGATACCCTGATATAGCCACATGAACATTTCATGGCTCACCCAGCGTACAAATTCTCAAACACTTCCAGGTGAACAAAGTCTCCATTTTGCCAGCTCAAACCCGTTACGAGACCCTGAAGAGTTCCATGTCAGATTTGCCAGGTGCCTGTCCAGCTACAGATACCTTCGAGATTTGCAGCACATGATCATTGCAAATCTAGATGACTCATTGACTTGTGTACCGTACAGACTGAAGACCTTCAGGTGAATGACCCCACACAAATGCTGAACGCGCGCGTCGTGCATCTGGAATGCACATCCCTGCCCCATCTGCGCTAGGCGATCGTCACTGCTGCAATTGTGCCCCTGGCGGCAAGCCACCTAGAATTCAAGCTCAACGTTTGCGACATTAACCGCCTCCACGATCCCCAACGCGCCGCAATCCCTTCAACGATACCACGCGACAACGTTCTCCAGGCTACGCGCTTTCTTCGACGCCGACCGATACCCGCGCACCTCGCTCCGCATTCCCTCGCTCCATACTGCACACTACCCTCACAATGACGCGGTTACTACTACCTTTCACTGCGTTTGCCGCGCTTGCACCTCTTGTGAGCGCTGGCATTAAATTTACAAGTCCGGTTGCAGGCGACAAACTGACGGTTGGCACGGCGATCGAGGTAGAATGGGAGGAAGGCGGCACGGGCCCCGAAATCAGTGACTTGATAACATACCAGCTCATTCTAGTAGGCGGTGGACAGGAGGATAAAGAGCAACAGGTGGTCAAGGTCCTTACAACAGCGGGAAACTTCGCGCTTGGTGGTAACAAGGCGTCTGCTTTGGTAGAGACTGGACTGCCAGGAGCGAGCACACCAGCCAATGCCTAGTAGGTCGATCTTGATCTTTACGTTGAGCAACTTCACTGACACGACCGCACAGCTTCATCAAGATGGTCGCTGTAGGCAAGACTGGAGGCGAACTCACGGCCTACTCGGATCGCTTCTCCTACTCGGGCATGACAGGCGCATGGAGAGACGACGTGAAGACGGCTCTTAGCAAGCTCGATACCACAGACGGGCCTGCGACCAAGGACACCACCACCGATGCTGCAGGCGGAGCAGCAGGCGCAGATGGCGACTACGATGTCGAGTATACAATGCAGACGGGCCCTACACGATATGCGCCGATGCAGCCAGTACCACCGAAAACGGTCACAGCAAAGAACACGAAGCCCTTGTATCCAACAAGTAGCGTCAAGATTGCGACGGCCTTCTTGCCAATCCCGAGTATTCAGACAACTATCACACAGGCTCAGACATTCTCGGTCAGCAGCATGGAGAACACGGTAAGTTGCGTTCACAAGACGGGCGATTGGGCGTATACTGACTATTGACCAGGTCGCTGCTGCTCCTCACCCAACAGACGACATGCAGAAGTTTCTGAACAGGTGGAAGGACTAGATCTGTGCATTGGCTCACTTTGGAAAAATGTACGACTAGGTGGGCAACACGTTGAGATTTAATGATCATCTCCAATGATGGTGTGACTTGCGCATCCAATGCGTGCACCTTTACTGGCGTTTCTGCGATTTTTTACGATTCTGATAGCGTTCAATATATCATGACCGAACACAATAATTTCATTCTGATGTGGTCTCCTATGCTACAATCGTAAAGCAATCCGCGATGTGCATTGACCAATGTTGTTCCTCCGCACTTGCCTCTTGAAGCTGGCCGAGGCAGAGCGAAGGTACCCGCGATCTCAGACTTGAGCTGTCCCCCACCACCCCACCTGTCGTTCCGGTCCCAAACGGCCACATGGGCAGCTGCAGGAAGCTCGCGCGCGTTTTCTGGCAACCGTTTCTACACTGTGGAAGAAGCTTCTCGTCTCGACCAAATCGGCTCTATAACCCTGAAAATTTTGCCGAGCGATTCAGCAAGCCTCGAGGACTTGCATCAATTGCCAGAATGGGGATCGCAGAGAACTACGATGAAGTTCTCAAGGGCAAGTACCCAGCCAAGGAACACGCAAGGAAGGTCGCAAAGTGGATTATCGAGAAGGGTGGTGACAAAAACGGAACCATCTACCTGGAGGCGCAAAAGCAGAAGCTGAATGAGGACAACGATGGAGAGGCTCCTTTCAGGTGTGAACTCTCAGGCCCTTGCTAGCAGGAGACACTGACAATCTAATCAAGGCAACGACGCTACTTCTACTACCTCAGTGGATGCGAGCTGCCAGACTCGTATCTCACATACGAAATCAGCACTGACAAGCTTACGCTGTTCATCCCCGGCGTTGAGCCTGACGAGGTCATCTGGTCCGGACTTCCCATGAGCCTCAGGGAGGCAAAGGTAAAGTATGATATCGATGACTGCAAGACAACCGCCGATGTCAACTCGCATCTGGCCAGCTCGACCGACACATCACAGTCGACTGTCTACGCCATCCCAGAGCAAGTTTCGGACCACATCACCTTCCTCAACTTCAAGGAAAAGGAGTTTAAGGAGCTCAAGCCTGCGATTGAGTACTGCCGGGTGACCAAGACCGACTATGAAATCGCGCTCATTCGCAAGGCCAATGCTATATCAACTGTGGCACATGTCAACGTCATGAAGGCTGCTGCTAAGGCTCGCAACGAATGCGAACTCGAAGCTGTCTTCCTGAAGTCGTGTGTCGAACGCAACGCAAAGAACCAGGCCTACCACTCCATCGTGGCAGCCGGCACGAATGGCGCAACTCTACACTATGTCAACAACGCAGCACCTATTGATAAGCAGAACCTGCTCCTTTTGGATGCAGGATGCGAGGTTGACTGCTATGCCTCAGACATCACCCGCACCTTCCCTATCACAGGCCACTTTAGCGAAGAGAGCCGCGCAATATACGACATAGTCCTTCATATGCAGAAGCAGTGCATCGCCGCGCTCAAAGCCGGTGCCGTCTGGGATTCGATCCACGAACTTGCCCACAAAATCGCCATCGATGGTCTTCTTGCGCTCGGTATCCTAAAGGGCGATGCCGAGGAGATCTTCAAGGCGCGGACGAGCGTCGCATTTTTTCCTCACGGTCTGGGTCACTACCTGGGTATGGACACGCACGACACGGGCGGCAATGCCAACTATGCGGATAAAGACAGCATGTTCCGCTACCTCAGGGTCAGGGGAACGGTGCCTGCGAGGAGCGTGATCACGGTTGAGCCGGGCATTTACTTTTGCAAGTTCATCATCGACCCGTATCTGAAGAATGAGAAGCAAAAGCAGTATATCGACGAGAAGGTGTTAGAGAAGTACTGGAGTGTTGGTGGTGTAAGGATTGAAGGTGAGTGCTTGCACCTGCAGACTGAAACAACGATATCACTAATGCAATACAGACAATCTTTTGGTAACAGAGAACGGTTCTGAAAACTTGACGCCAACACCAAAGGAGGTCGACGATATCACGCAGCTCATCAGGGCTGGTCACTAGGTTATGGCGACTCAATGCCCTCATATCGAGTGGCGACCACAACAGCAATATAATAAAGAAATCTTCCACCATTCCTCGTGTTTCATACTTCGTTCGTTCGTACCCAGCAAGATTGAGGTACATTGTGGTTTTCGCCAAATTGTCTTTGGCGGCTTCTTACCCTTGCTTCCGCCGCCCCTCCAATCTATACATATTAATGTAGGTCACACTGAGCATCTGAGAACCTCATCTCGCCCTCATTAAAATGTTTCGAAACCCTCCGAATGGTATGCAGCCTTGCGCGCTATACCATACCCCGGATTTTGAGGCCGCTTCCCACAGTACCTGCAGCCCTTCATCTACTTCGAAGCGGAGCACCAAGACCGTGGCAAATTGAGCATTATTAGTCGTGAGATATAAGCTGAAGATGTGGGACTAGTACGGGGTGACAGACAACGGAACCTCAAATCTACTTTCAGTATGTTCCTTGCTCGATTAGCAGGTATCGCAGGCCTTCTGGCCGCTCTTGTAGTCGCTCAGACCACTACACTCCAAGCCGAGTCCGCGACACTATCTGGTGTCACCGTTGCCACTGCAGTTGCCGGATATACTGGTGCGCATGACAAGAAAAATTCATCCCGATATATCTAACACGACAATAGGCACTGGCTACGTGGAGGGTTTTGACGAAGGCATAGACAAGGTCACCTTCAGCGTCCCCGCCACAATTTCGCAACTCTACGACCTCCAACTCGTCTACAACGGTCCCTACGGCGACAAATATACCTACGTTGTCCTCAACGGTGCAGGTGGCTCCCAAGTCTCCCTCCCAGCCACAACAACATGGACGACTGTCTCTGCTGGCCAAGTGCTCCTCAACGCCGGCTCCAACACGATCGAAATCCAGAATAACTGGGGCTGGTACCTCATTGACAGCATCATTTTGTCACCCAGCCCGAAGCGCGGCGCACATAAGATTACCACGCAGCCTGTGAGCCCGAATGCGAATGCTGATGCGAAAGCACTGCTCAAATACCTCGGAAGCATTTACGGCAAGAACATCCTCTCCGGCCAACAGGACCAAGCATCTCTCGACTGGGTAACAGCAAATGTCGGCAAGACACCCGCCATCCTCGGTTTGGACTTGATGGACTACACCGAATCCCGCATCTCGCGCGGCGCATCATCCACCGACGTCGATAAAGCCATCGCGTTCAACAAGAAAGGCGGCATCGTGACATTCGTATGGCACTGGGGCGCACCCGTTGGTCTTTACGATAATGCTACGCAGCCGTGGTACTCTGGATTTTATACGGCGGCGACGGATTTCGATGTCGAGACTGCGCTAAAGGATACGACGAATGCGAACTACACGCTGCTGATTAAGGATATTGATACTATTGCCGTGCAGCTCAAGAAACTCCAGGATAATGGGGTACCGGTGCTGTTTAGGCCGTTGCACGAGGCGGAGGGGAGGTGGTTCTGGGTGCGTCCTTATTTTCACTCATATTTCCCCGACCTACACTTATACTGACATTTGATGCAGTGGGGCGCCAAAGGTCCCGAGCCAGCTAAGAAACTCTACAAAATCGTCTTCGACCGCCTCACCCGCATTCACAAACTGCAGAACCTGATCTGGGTCTGGAATTCTGTGGCGAAGGACTGGTACCCCGGCAACTCCTACGTCGACATCGTCTCCGCCGACACTTATGCGCAGGGCGACCACGGCCCGATTTCTGCGACGTACAATAATCTTCTTACTTTGACTGGGGACACGAAGATCATTGCCGCCGCGGAGATTGGGTCAGTCATGGAGCCGAGCTTGTTGAAGGCGTATCAGGCGGATTGGGCGTGGTTTGTGGTTTGGAGTGGGGACTATATTAGTGCGGGGGTGTGGAATAGTCTGGATTTGTTGAAGAGGGTGTATACTGATGCGTATGTGCTTACGCTGGATGAGATTCAGGGGTGGCGGACGAAGTAAGAGTTTAGGGAGGGGAGAGGAGCGACAAGATGGCGGTAAGATCCGGGAGCATAAGTGTAGAAACGAATCCACGACAGTGTACCCACATGTCAGGTCCACGAATAAACATGGGTGTGACAGCAATGCATGAAAGTCAGCTTTTCGACCCCGACTGACGAAAATTCCGTTCAAGCTTGACCCAATGCTTCACCATGTCCCCTGTCAATCAAGGAATATATACGACTACGTCTTGCTTCTCTTACAGCATGAAGCAGCTCGACGGCCCTCTCGAGAACATGAGTCGTTAGCATAAGGCTTCTATGTGTGTCTAGTTTTGACAGGATAATCAGTGAAGTATCCTTTACACACAGAAGTCACTTCCATCTACGTTTTCTGCTGAAGACCCTCAAGGCGGAAAAGACATGGCGCCTCTTCTGGTTAATTTTCAATTGTCACTTTCGCAGTTCACGATCATCATGAAGGTGTGTCATGGCAGCATGGACCGCTGTAGTACGCTGATAGCTATGGTAAACGATAAAGTAGGACTACCGGGTTGATGGAATACTGCGCTGAATTGCTTGGAAGCGTGAAAGGTGGCGTGGGTGGAGGAAAGAGCGAAGAAGCAGGAGCAACAAAGCAAGAGTAGTGTTGACTGCCAACGGAATGAGTAGCAACGGAAAGAGTAGCAACGGAAAGAGAAACAACGATAATACGGAGATAATTGAAGGAAAAAAACAAGGAGAGAATGACCTAGATTGCTTGCGTGTAGAAACAATGTGTGATGTTCCCCTGCGGAAGCATTCTCAGCGCGCACACCTCCAAGATCTTTACGCCTGATAGATCTACGTATCTTCACAGCTGACAGGCAAATGCACCCATCTTCTTTTAGGTGTACCCCCATGTGGAAGTTCAAGCTCGTTTTCAAGACATGATTATCTGAGGTACAATGGTTGCTGAAATGTACAGACCCCCCTGAACTTGGTTCACTACTGCGACAGACTTACGTTATGTACGAATGAAGGCTTCTAAGTGGCTGTTTCTATCTTGGTTGACAGCATTGACAGTCTGGTACATGTCCTGCAGGGCAACAACGTGGTGAACAGCCACTCATAAGGCTGTCCGCCCTCATGAACCACAGTACGTACCTACTGTACGCATCACTGTACCAAGGTCAGGGGGTCTGCACATTTTTGAAAGCACTGATAGTTACAGATACAGAAAAAGTGCACAGCTGAAAGCTGAAAGCTGAATCTTATATAGAGCTTGTCGATCTTGCGTCGGTTAATTGACGTTGTATTCTTATGGGGAGGGCAGCACGATGCGGACATGCTCACATTGTCCCCACACTTCTGCTTTATGGTGCTTGCCACAATGTATGGTCCCCTGAATCTGGCTCGCGACTGAAGCCCTCTACATCATACAGAAGCGAAGGCTTCCGAGTGGCTGTTGATTGTCTGGTTGACAGTTGTGACAGCTTGGTAGACGTCATGCAGGGCATTAACGTTGGTAATAGCCACTCATAAGCTTGTCGGAACGACTATGCCATGGTGCAGATAGATTTACTGATTGTATTACTGTTCCAAGTTCAAGGGGGTCGTACACAAGAAGAGCTGATGAGCGAACTTTGGCTTGGAAAATGAAAATAGAACTATAGACAAAGGTGCAGATGTCCAATCATGGTTCTTAAACTTGTTCAGTCAAAGATGCCAAGGTCAGGCTCCAGCATTTGCTTGAGGAGCAGCTACGTGGCGCGAGAGGCAGTCTTTGAGATATGCCAGAACACGAGCAACAACCAGAGAACTGCAGAGTCAATTGTTGCGGTGTCAGCAAAACCAAACAATGAACATCACAGAAGCAAGGGGAGAGAGGTAACATTCATCAATCATGTATCATTCGTGTCACAGCCCGCTAAATGGGATCGCTGTGGGAGTATCGTGAGAAGCTAGGAAAGACCCGTTAAGTAGAACCATCGCTCAGTACCTTTTTGCTCCATTCGCCGGAATAAATCACGCCTTGTCGCACTTCATGTGCCCGGAGCCCTTCTTAGAGCTACAAAGAGCCCTTGGTGCTCCCCTGGACCTTCTTGACGATCGGGACGATCTGCTCGAAGAGAGGGTGTGTACGGTCGAGGCCGTTGACCTGGTTGACAACATCCTCGGCGGAGTTGTTCTTGAGGATCTTGGCGAGCTCGGCAGACTCCTCATCGCCTTCGACGTTCTGGAAGCGGTAGGCCATCTCGATGGCACCGAGGAGAGCATCGACCTTCTCACCCATCTCAGCCAGTTGAGCAGCAGGGCCAATGAAACGCTCCTTGCGGGAGAGCTTGCGGAGAGGAGCACGACCGACACGCTCGACGTTGTCCTTGAGGGTGGGGTTGGAGATGCGCTTGACGATCTTCTCGACGTAGTCATCCTGCTCTTGTGTAGAGATGCCGTGCTTGTTGACGATCAAGTGAGCGGTCTCCTTGACAGCGGCACGGACGATGTCGTGAAGCTCCTTGTTGTGGAGAACCTCGTGAATGTAAGGGATCTTGCGGTTGTGCCCGTAGTAGGCAGCAGTAGCGTGTGATGTGTTGACGGTGAAGAGCTTGCGCTCGATGTAGGGCTCGAGGTCATCGACGTAGTGAACACCCTCGATCTCGGGCTTCTTGCCGCCGTTCTCGAAGGGCTTCTGCTCGACGCACCACTCGAAGAACTTCTCGATCTTGACATTGAGACCAGCGTCCTTGTCCTGCTGTGGCACAATGCGGTCAATAGCCGAATTGGCGTAGCGGGCCTTCTTGTCGATGTTCTCCAGGGTCTTCTCGCTCAGCTTGCTCTCGATGAAGCCCTTCCATGTGGTTGTGGCGTTGATGGCGTTCTCGCAGGCAATGACGGCAATGGGGTAGTCAAGCTCGCGAGCCTCAATAGCCTTGGCGACTGGATCAGCGACGAACTTCAGGATGTTGGGACCAACGGCACATGTGACGACATCGGCAGTAGCAATCTCGTGCACGACCTTGTCCATCTCGTGCTTTGAGTTGAAGGCCCGGTAGTGGTTGATGGTGAACTGGCGCTCACCGTCATCACCAATCTCGGTGACAGTGTACGAAGGTGTCTGCTGGAGTTGCTCGATAATCGAGTCCATGACATCGATGAAGATGACCTCGTAGCCAGAGTTGTGCAGGAACTCGGCAACGAAGCCACGGCCGATGTTTCCACCGCCGAAGTGAACAGCCTTCTTCTCGTAGGGCATGATGTTTGTGTGGGTGTGTGTAGAGTTGAGTGTGGTGAAGTAGGTGAGGTTGTGGTGAGAGTTAGCTAGAGATGGAGGTCAATTGGGTGTTCATAGAAGTGGTGGTGAGGTGGGAGGAGAGGGAGACCCACTGTTCACGAGCAGGTGAAATGTTCGGAGCGTGGTGAAAGGAAAGTGGTGAGTGGTGTTTGTTGACGATCGGAGGGGAAGGTGTTGATGAGGGGTATTTATGGCAGGAGCTAGGGCCACCGATGCAGTGGCAGGTAGTGCAAAGACCGTGAAGTAACAAGCAGTTACATGTGGACTTACCTGGCCAGATGCTTCTTGAGGGAGGGGCGGTGTGTGACTGGGGTGCTGCAGCGCAGTGCTAATTGCAAGGTAAGGCTGATAGCGAGTAAAGGTGAATGTTGGGGACACGAGTGAGCTGGCGATGCACCCCGCGATGACGCTGCAGCGAACACCCAATTGGCAGCTAGGGAGGAACGACTGCCTGCAAAAGTAACGCGCGAGACTCGCCAGAATCAATAGTAAGATGAAATGTGCGTCTTCAGATTTGCCTGTTGCACTGCGGCTGAAAGACAGAAAGTAGATGAACGTGCTGCCATGCTGCCCGACTGCTCACCTTCAACGTTCCTCCCGGCCGTGGAGGGCGCGCTCCGAACATGCGATTGTGGAAGTCCTGCCGCAACTCTGCCGCAACTCACAGCAATTTCTGACGCTGTGCTCGTTCGCGGTCCGGCTTCCCAGCACTTTCTCACGCGCTGGTGGAGTAAACGACGTCATGGTTCATACCAAGCGTTCATGCCATTAGCTGATGCCAAGTGGGGCAAAGCGTGTTTTTCTCAGACACACATCCTGGTGTAACATCTCTTGAGGCTTGCAAAACGATCGTCATCGATTGATCGATTGCTACAGGTACGTACCGTGCGTGTATCGTGATCTGATCTTGAAAAATCTCATTACCACCAGCCCCACCCATTATTACAGCCTCTTCTTCAAGCCTCCAGCCTCCGATTCCAAATTCTACGCATGAATAGCCTGCTGCACGTGAGGATACACAGCCACCATGCGGTGATAAAGGTCCGGGTGAGCGCGGACAAGAACCTCCGGATCCCAAGCCATTGCGACAAATATCGTGTCAATGCCACTGCTCAACGGAGTAGTGAAGATCTTGCAAATTTGCAGACCGATAAGGAACGCAAATGCGACCACAACGGGAGTATAGCCGCCATCCTGGTTGTATGCGGGCGACGTGAAGATCAGGTACAGGTATGCGAGCAGCGCACACGCATATGCGATAAATGTTGCGCCCATGGAGAGGACCGGGCCGATGAGGCATTCGTTAACAAGGGCATCAATACCGCGGTCTTTGATCATCCTGCGTAACGTAAGCATGTGAACAGCATGGAGACATTCAGGCTATACTGACTTCCAGGTGTCCTTAGCAGCTGCAATGTACGCCTTGCCGTAAAGCGCAATGTACGAGAATGCATAACGATTCAAGAATTCGACAGCCCATTCCAGAATGCCAATGAGACATCCAAAAACGCAGAACAAGATCGAGGCAACCAGGTTGCCGTCTCCGGAAGCCGATCGCTGGGCGGCTGAGCACAACTGTCGCAAAAATTGGATAATGGCCACGAGCAAGCTCCCCAGACTGATGCTGCCGAAGCTGTAGGTCAAGGCTCGCTTCAAGGCGCCGCGGGTCGCTCCCTTGGGGAACTTCTCGTTGTCAGGGTTGAAGTACCAGGAGCCATAAACGCCAGAAATAGTAACGTGAATGGTGTTCTTGAGCCATCTAGGAGGTTATCAGTGAATTATTTCTCAACATTTATGTTTCAAACTTACTCAGAGAACCAGTACATGGCGAAAGTGACGAACACGATTAGGCCAATGACCTTGCCATTGCCACAACCTCCAGTCCCGTTGTCACACGCAGGGTTATTGCCAGGGTGGTAATTTGCATAGATCGCCACAAGAGTGACCGAGAACCAGGCGCTGAACGCCATTGCGATCAGTCCTCCAATGAGCGAGACCAAGTACACGTGGCCGTACTTCTTCGAGACGTCAATCGCGGTCTGCAGCATCAGGACGCTGAAGGGGATGCGAGGAATCCAGCTGATAAAGCAGATCACGTAGAAGACGCTGAATAGCAGGAAGACAATACCACCAGACCAGTAACGGCGCGAGAGCATGTAGAGGGCCGTGACGAATCCGAAGATAATGTTGAGAATACCGGTGATCCAGATGAACTGCTTTGTGAAGGCGCGCGCTGCCCACATGTAGGCGTAGCTGAGGATGGTGGCCATGCCGAGGACAAACGCGAATAGGATGACTGTGTTTGAGTCTAGCCCAAAGTCATTTTGGCTGCCGTAGATTCCACCGTTGAAGTTAATGTTTTGCGCTGGAATCGTCAGTACTCATCGAGCTAGGACAAGGCCGCCTAACTCACCATATCCTCTGATTGCGAGCCCAGATACAGCAACATACCCCAGAAATACCGCGATGAGTAGCAGGCCAGCCCACCAATCGTTGTACTTCGGCCTCTCAATCTTGAAGGCTTGGTCGAAGCTCGGCTTTTCGCCATAGTTCATCTGCGCATAGCCATTCTGTTGCGCGAGTGGATGTTGTGAGGGTTGTGGACCCTGGGGAGGAGCGTAGTTGTTGCCATACTGCGGAGGTTGTTGGCCATAGTTCATAGGCGGTTGCTGTCCGTATTGCTGGCCCTGATGATAGGCTTGTTGTGGCTGTTGTGGTGCGCCAGTGTAGTAACCCGCTGCTTCGCCTTGTTGCGCCATTGCGACGCTGGAATTGGTGCTCGTTGCGCGTGGATTGACGTTGAAAATTCAGAAAGGAGAGGAAGATGAAACTGACACGGATAGATTGTAGTCAACAGAGGGCTAATGAAATGATGTTTTCAGACGTCACACGTCACGACCGACAGTATTGGTTGCACTCGACCATGGAAGCTGCGACCGATGCGTCTGCCTGTGGCTGAAGATCGCTGCTAGCGTGTTGCAACACGAAACATGATTGGCGCGCATGTAATATTGGCAGCGGCAGCTGCACCGAGCCCATCAAACAATCGTGGCGCGAACATGAAAAGGGGCCCAGATCATCACTCCCGCCGAGGCTAGTCAGTCCGCGGCATGAAGCTTGTCCCTTTTCCCAGTGACGATCGATGTCTTTCGGCTGTCGTAACGAGATGATGGGATCTTGATCTTGCAGCGCATTCCAAATCAACAACGGCCGCCCTTGCATAGCCTAAGTCGCCAAACGTCTCGCAACTCTCGCAATCGTGTCGCGGATTGTCGATTTCTATCGTCCTTGTGTTGATCTCGCGCCGAAGCAGTCTTCTCTCCGTTTTCCCGGCTTGGAAGTCGCGGGTTGTCGCCCTGAGTCGTCTCGTGAAAGTTTTCGAAATGAGCAATCCCGCCGATTATCCGCAGCACGGGCCGGCCTGCATAGCTTCGATTCGGTAGTCTCAACATCGACCTGACACCGTTGTTGTGAGTTGAACTGTGCCAGCCCAGTTGCTCATGAAAACGTCCAGGGAAGGGTGGTGAATTTTGGAGACTGGATGGGTACCCAGGGTTCGACGTTCACTCGGCCTTGGTCTTCTTGTCTCCACGCTCCTTCTTGTGTGCCCATACATACACGAACGGGTAGATGGTCTCTGGAAGCAGCGTAACGATCATACCCGCAATGCTCCAAAATGAACCGACGTACGACCAGTTCTCTGGCGCATTAAGGTATCGCCAGATAAACACTAGAAACGCGCAAATGCAGCCCAGATATCTCGTGATCCTAGTCCAATCAGTCAAAGCCATCTTTGATCACAATCGAAGCACTCACCAAATCTCGAGACTTTGTCCTTTCGTATCTCCTCTCTTCAATAAGTAATACACTTGTCCCCACCCAATCGGCAGCTCCAGATACACTCCTGTCCAGAAGGCAGTCAACTGCTCCCTCTCGTCCGGCCACACCTGTCCAGCGCCCCACAAGAACGCGATCCCCAGCGCCGTCATCCAGATCAGCCTCCACACCGTCTTAGGTCTCTCCTCCTCCTTGTACGCCCTTTTCAGCGCTACGGTAACGAAACTGATATCGAACATGAACCATACAAAGAAGCACACGCGCTGCCATGTCGTGGTCGTGCAGACATATGCGTAGTAAAGCTCATACGCCATGGTCTGCGAGAGGAAGAGTACGGAGCCGGCAAGGAAGCGGTCGCTGTAGGTACGCGTCATGTAGAAAAGGTAGCATAGTGTGTAGAGAACGCCGCAGGAGATGATGAGGAAGTCAGTAATGAAGAAGTAGGATTCAGGAGGGGAGAGGGCGAGGTCTGATGATTGAGGGATGAGGTGGTAGGATGAGTAGTTGTTTGCGAGTTCGAACATCTTGGTGTTGTTGAAGGATGCAGGTTGAAGTTGACAGTGGGTTCAAATGAGGTGGTAGTTGACGGATGCGGTATGTCTTGGGGATGGTGTCTTGCAAGGCGGCAGGGGCCAGGCCAACAGGGTAGCGCAGCACATTCACAGATAAGTTTGAAGGGACAAACGCACTTTATTGGATTCTGAGACTACTAACGTGATAGTATTTTGGTTGACGTGTGAACCATCATATCCATCCATCCTGATGCCAGGCATCCGAGCATTCCGGGCAGGTCAATCTTTCACTCGGCAGCACCGGGTGGTCACTACACACCTTCAAATAGAATGTCCCTAGTGCGCATCGCTGGCACTCGCGTCCATTCAAACCTCGTATTCGTCAATTGCACACACCGTTTGCCTCCCTTGGCGTCTCACCGTTCGATTACAATAGTTGAGTCCGTTATCAACAAAAGGCGAAGGATTGCTGAGATGCGGAGTAGTCGCAGCATCTGGTGGCATGGGTCAGACGATGACGTATGTCGCTCGAGAAACAATCAGAAAGAGTTGTGGAGATCGAGTGGCTGTAAGAGACTTCGGAAGGATGTACCGGACACTAGGCGAGGTTGGGGTCTAGTGTACCTTCCGATCCTTCCACATCCTTCACAACGACAACTCGACATCTTCGATCTCGACCTCGCCCAAGAATAGTGGTACGGAACCGCTGCCAGCCACCGTTTTCTATGTAAAGAAAGCAGAGCAGCTCGGCTCTAACCAGGATGCCAGCGACACATCTTCCACTGAGACAGGCTCTGATTTCGACCCAGATTCCTGGTTCTGACTCCAGTGGAAGAAATGCAATGCAAGAGGCGACCCTCCTGCGAGACGTCGAGGCCACCGTCGACCAGAACCAACTCTCGGCCCTTCTCGTCGGGGCTCTAGTTCTGATGAATCACGCATCACCCCACCTGTCAGATATGAATACGACTCAGACGGTGAACGTGTACACAGACCCAAGAACGAGTTTAGAAACAACTCTAGCCTTAAGGATGCAGGGGATGAAGATGAATCCCCGCCTCCACGAAGGTTCAGCCGAAGAATCATGAACTTTTTGCATGGTGTCGGAGAGCATCTACAAGGTTCTCGCCAGCCAACAACATCAACCTTAGTGCCTTTTCAAAAGCACTCAATGTCTTGAGCAGAACATTATGTGGTGTTCCTTCGGCTTTTAGTATCTCTTCAGAATACGAAGGACTGGTCGTCCGCGTTTGACAAACCGCAGACGCGCTTGGATTATAGAAGTGGACGTGCAATGCTTTCATAAATTAAATGGCCAGCGGAGAGCAGAAAAACATCGTGTTGAGAGGCGATTTCGACCAACTTACATCATGTTGACTTTCATGTGAGTTTGGAGCAGAGAAAAGACAGAGAAACCCTATGTTAGCAGTCATCAGATTTGAGATAGGGAAAGAAGTGTAGATGGGGACGTTTTAAGAAGAATTAGGATGGAGATATATATGCGTTCAGCTCAGTAATAGCTCTAGAACATGAGGTATTCGCAGTTGTACTTTTGGCGCTTAATCGGAGGCCACTGCATCATAACATGTTCCCCACAGCGACTCATCTTGAAGCCATACTTGGACAGAAGCAAGAATGCCCCGGTTCGACTGTCATTCTGGTCAGAGACAGAAGATACTTTAGTGAATCAAGTAGAAGGAGCAGGACAGACATGGCGAGTTAAGCCATTCTCTTTCGATAGAGATTCTGACGCTAGAGTGTTGGAAAGAAGGCATACCCGAAAAGCTAGATGCATATTCACATTCGACAGCCGCACCAGAACATGTTCTCCTTGTCGTTCTTTTCTGGAGTTCAGCGGAAGGAGCGGCGCAGGAACATTCATACCACAGTATGTCTTACATTCGGTATGAGGAGACATTCATGATATTGACTTTGATCTTGGAAGGTGGCAGGCATGACATGCCACTTCTTGAGTAGCTCTTCGGGGAAAGGGCAGACACAACAGACATATGACAAAGCGGTTGCACTTTTAGTGCTCAGAAAAGAAAGCATGTTGCTAAAAGAGAAATAGGGAGCGAGGCTGAAGTGCGCTTATATACGTGCGCTCAGGAGGCGGTAAGCCAGTATTAGCGGTCAAATGATGGGTCAGGAGGAAACACAGTACAGAGGACGAAGATACGTTCTTTCTGCTGCGTGAGATGACAACAGTATCGCAAAAGTAACTGAAAGAGTTATGCTCTGAGCGACTTATGCAGGAAGGTGAGTGTATGTAATGTCTGACATTTCTTGGTGAAAACCGCCTTCCTGAGTGAAGATTTGGGCAGGAGCGGACACTCATGCACCATGATGCTTTCAATTTCAGCTAGGGCACAATTGCCACCTCGGTCTTTCAGCAAGAACAGCAGATCACACATGGACGGGTGGGATTTGGCATTTTGGTGTGCTCAAGAAAGGTGCAAGGTGATGAAGATGTATGCTCGGAAACGACTATCCCCAGGTTCAACGTGGATTTCTGTTTCCTGTTGTTGCTTTTGCAGTAAGCTCTGTCCGAAGAGCTCAGACCATGAAAGCTACAAATATCGATTTGGAGACATGACAGAACAAGACCAGGACTTCATTCACACATAGCTTCTGCGTGAACATTTTGATAGAGCAGACAGAAATGAGATCATACCCAGGACAAAACAAGGATTTTTGTCAAAGAGCAGAACAGATACAGACATGGATTCCTCAGCCCTCAACTTTCGAAACTTGTCGAGGACGGAAAGCGAGGAAGTCATAGTCTGAAATAAAATTATTTTGAGGAACAAGCAGAGCAGAGCAGACATTTTTTGAGCGAGACAGGATTTTTCTGGATAGATAGGAAGCCTTGTAGGGATGAAGAAAATAATAGGATAACGCCACGCTTTATGTATGCGGTCAAGACCTAAGCCACTGGCAGAACTAGGTGGAAATGTATGTGATTCCGTTCATTTGCTCACGCTAGAATTTTGGGGTACCAATGCACGTTTGAGACCCAAGGGCTGCACAAAGCATACATAGGCCGCATACGAATGTATTTTGGTATTCAACAGGAGGAAACAGCACCAGAGCATATCCCTACAAGAAAATTGTTTCTGAAGGACACTCGGCAGGACCGGCCATATACCGGGAATGCATCTGTGTCGATTCGGACAGACAGCAGGCAGAACATGAGTCGTTTGCCGCACCATTTCAAGTGGAAGGAGCAGATAGAGCAAACATGATGATTCCCTCGTGCCATTTTGATTTTGAAAAAAGAAAGGGTAATGGCGGTGGAAAGGAAAAGAGCAAGGCCGCAACGGGCTTTTATATGCATGCCTCGTGGTGAAGAGTAGCTGCAGGATGCATGTGACGACTTCGGTTTGCCAATCGAAGCGATGCACATGAGGTATTATTATTCCGTCTTACTTTTGGTTTTTATTGAGTCTAATCAAACATGCTACTCTAAATAGCGCATCGCTACCGAGTCTAGAAGACTTCTTCTGGCGTCTTCCGCTCTACTTCGCCTTCCCATTCTTCCCCGCATATACGTTACCATCCCCGTTCGCCTCAATGCTCCTCCTCTCCTCAAACTTAACACCCTTAATGGTCCACTCACTGTAGATCTCCAACCCCGCCACAAAGACACCCAACAAACTCGCAATAACAAAATGGCTAATCGTAGTCCCAATATCCAACCAGCTCCCCTCATCCTTCACCATGAAGAAGAAGCTGAGCGTCATGACATCGCTCACCGCCATAACCACCATGAATAGCGCTGAGGGCGCAACGCCCAGGCGGCGATTGAGCAGGCCGAAGTTTGCAGATAGTGCGGCGAAGGGCACCATGAGCTTGAGCACGAGCAGCGCGCCTTGGCTGAAGGGATCAAAGACGGGAATCAGGCGGTACACGGCGTCGAGAGAGAAGGAGGATACGGAGGCAATGTTTGAGGCGCTGAAGAAGGCGGATTGGATGAAGAAGAAAAAGAACAGGGCGATGCGGGCGTCGGCTAGTGTGAGGGAGCGATATTCGTTCGTTCGCGTGGGGAGCGGAGGGTGGTCTTTGGCTGCGGCGACAGCAGGCTCGACGGACTCGCGAGGTTGTGGGACGGCCTTAGGTATGCTGGTTGTATGCAGATACACTTGGTGCTCGAGACGCATCCAGCTGAAGAGACAGAGGCAGAAGGCGAAGTAGAAGATGCCTTCAAAGGAGATGCTGAGAATGACAAAGGTCGGGGCGAATTGCAGGAACATCACTACGAGTCGATGGATGTAGTGGTTGTTTGGGTACAAGCCATGTAGATTCGGTAGGAACAGCGAGCCCACTGGAGCGTGTTAGCAATTGTTCGACAAGTGCAAGCGTACAATTTACCTAGCGTCGCCCATCCTACCACTAGGACACCAAGGGGCAGACCCTGCCGGGCTTGGACATAGTAGATGCTGCTCTTAGTAACGATCATGGACAGAAGCACAAAACCCAGCTGGGGGGGGGGAAATTAGCGAAGCTCGCGAAGCTGCAAGCACGTGTCTTACCTGAATGCTCAATATCAGCCGTGACTTGAGGCTCGTCGTCGCGTCAGCAGAATTTGTTCGGGATTTTGCGTTGGCGAGGATCTTCTCCTCGCAAGCGAGGTAGACAGCGCCAACAGCGAACATAAGCCCGCCACCGATCATGCTACAAAGTATTACATCAGCGTAGGCTCCTTTGGGCTAAGAGCAAACATACATCAAACTGACGTTCTCTAACTTATTGGCCGGTAACAGTGTAAAGATACTCATCATCATACAAGAAACGATCCACGTCGCGACCGTTCCCATGTTTCTCTTCACAAAGTCTTGACCGTAGAATGTAGGCCAAGTTGCAGCCAGGAGATAGCAGACTGTGTAGATCTCTCTATGGAAGTAGCTTTGTACCTACTGGCTGTTAACAAAGACTCCCTCCGCGAGTCCGGGGCGAGCTTACCAAAGCCTGCAGCAGGCCTAGAGAGCCGAGTGTTGCCAGTATCAGCTTAGCTTTGTCGGCTGGAGTGTTGACGTGGCTGAAGAGGTCTTTGCTTCCTTTAATGAGTGATGATCTTCGTGCGTAGACCTCTTCCCAGAAGAGCACAGGAAAGAAGCCGTAAGCGTAGTACCACAGAGGCGATCGCTGCTTCAACAGGACCGAATACAGTACAACCAAAACCGACGAGAAGACTGCAACGCTCTGTGTCGTTCTTTGTGCTTCCGAATCCTCGTTGAGAACGTGGAGATCCACGACTGTGGTGATCGCGAAAGCGATCCAGCCAAGGTAGCCGAGTGTGATCAACGCACGAAGGAAGAGCCAGTCGTAAGTTTGCAGATACCGCAGGCCATCAAGGCCAAGGTCGATGAGATCGTACGTCTGGTTGACAGCCTCTTCGAGCTTACCAGCGTTGATGGCTTTTTGTATTTCCGAAACCTGGTGCTCAACAGAGTGTTGTTCGTCGCCGAGTCCAGGGAAAGCCTTGTAGTATAGCGCATGCGCGCGCTTGGTCTCCTCCTTGACGCGGTACATTTCCAGTATCTGTTTCGCATTGACCAAGAGTGCTTCCGCCTTCGCCTTGTCGTCTTTATCGAGGTAGGTAAGCGGCAGCACACCGACCGAATTCGTAGGGAAGTCGAGTCCCACAAGATAGGCCATAAGCGCAGCGACATCTGCCTGGTCCACATCATTTCGCTGAATGTGATCAAGGTTCCAGTCGTGAGAGAAGCCATCTTCGTGGCCCTCTGCCTTTGTGCCTGCGGTCTTGATTGGTTTCGCAACACCAGCTCCCCATGCGATCAAAGGTGTACGCGTGTTATCTGGGTTTCCGTCTCCGTGACTGCCCCAGTCGCTCATGCCGTGATCCGCAGTGAACACAAATGCCGTCTGGTCGTCATTGTAGAAATCCTCGATCAACTGAGTAATCTCCTTAACACCACGATCCACGATCTGGATGTTGTGCAGGTACTGCCACGAGTATGGTCGATGCGCATGTCCCGCAGTGTCCAATCCCAGCAGGTGCAGGAAGAACACATTCTTGTCCTTTCGCAGCTCAACGTTCAGCGTCGCATTCGTCTTCGCAGCCTCGAACAGCCCTTTCACGCGCTCAAAGACCCACTCGTCCAGTATCCAAGCATCTTTGGAGAAGTCCTCGAAATCATGCCCATAGCAGTACGCATCAACCCTCCCAGGCACTGCGCCGGTCTCGAACATAGGCAGAATATCTGGGCTGCCCCAGCTCCACGTATGACGGCTGCGATTGAACACGCTGTCGAAGTTCACGGGATTGAGCTTCCATCCTGTGGCCACGGCGGATACATCTTCGTACAGTCCTGCGATGAGCGCAACATGACCTGGGCGCGATTCGGTAGGTACACGAGTATGGGAGACACCGAATGTGCCGCTTTCGAGTACTTTGGAGCGTAGGAAAGGCGCGAGAGGGCGAGGGGTCTTTGCGTAGTCTGCAAGCAGCTGCGGTGTGTCTGGCGTGGTCGCATTGGGGTCAGGGTTCGGGAAGGACTGAAAGGTCTTGTCTGCGCGGAGACCGTCGCCTGCAATGGATGTTAAAAGTTGCAACGTTTCCGTGCCGTAGCCGCATACCAACGAATAGTACTAGACGCTTCGCGGGAGCTTCTTGAGTCTCCACACAGTGCTCACTCATGCCATGAACGATGGGGCTCACAAAGTAAATCGAGAAAATGCTGTAAATGTAGACAAGGTGGAACGCCACAGCCACGATGAGGAGGCGATACCGCCCGAACTGCGCCATGATAAGGACTGTGGAGGAGGTGGAGGAGCAGCAGGAGGAGGAGCAAGGCTCTCCGGAGAGAGTCCTGTGTGTTGACGCGACGTAGTACCCCAATGGCTAAACGCTCGCGTCGCAAGCCATAAAGGTGTTATTGCCAAGACCTCCCGCCAATGACGACCACTTTGACTTTCTGCTCCTTTCGAGTTGCTGTACGGAACTGTGTATGCGTACTGGAAGGCGCAATCTTCGAATTGTATGTCAGATTAAGGACAGTATGCAACTAGTGAGAAGGATGTGCATGTTGTGGTGATGCATAGGGGTTGAAGCTCGAGCGACCACCGCCCAAAACGGAAACTTCCTTCTCCGCAAAATGGTCAGGCCTCCACTCAAAGATCGGAGCAAGTGCTTGTAATAATTTGGTATTTCAAAACGACCGCTTGCTATTCATTCATTCTGCCACAGTCCACGTTCATCTATGCCTCAACGTTGAACTGTCCATCCCTCAGGCCCTCAACAACAAGCTCATGGCCCTCTGCGCGCTGGTAAATGTCCTTGATGTCGTCTGCGAGATGTTAGTGAAACACGGTCAGATCTCTGACAGGAGTTGAACTGACCTGTTGTGGTCTCGAAGTGGCTTGTGGCATCGTAGCTCTTCGACAGGAAAATGTTGTCGTTGTTGCCGCTCTCCAGAGGCTCGTAAAGCGGGATGGGCTGGCCCATGAACTGCTCTTCGATCTTGCCGAGACGGTCAAGACCAGGCTGAAGCTCGAGGTGGTGGTTGGCGTCGGTCTCAGCAATGGTTGAGACAATGGCAATGTAGTAGCCCTTGGGGCAGACGTTGTGAGCGGACGAGACAACGGCGATGTAGATATCTGCAGAATGTATCAGTACCGGGCACGCGGCTTGACCTAAGCTAACTTACCGTTCTTGCGGCCAACCTGCGATTGAGGAATGATCAGTTGCAGAGAGTCGGAGTTGTCGGTGTTGGGAATAGGGTGGTTGAGAATGCAAATGGCCTTCAGCAGGTGTCCAGTGACACGCACCTTGCCGGGGAAGTAGGAGGGGTCTGCAAGAATCTTCTTCGCCTTGGTCTCGAACTTCATGCCGGGGCCCGCATCGTCCTTCTCCTTCATGGTAGCCTTGATGCCAACAACCTTGCTGCCGTCGTAGAGGAACTCGTCAACATCGGTGTTGAGCATGTATGTACCGCCGTAGATAGCCGAGAGACGAGCAAAGCCCTGGGGAAGCTCTCCCAAACCGTACAGAGGGTAGATGTACGGAGACTTGCCGTATCGTGCCATGGAGTTGACGTAGAGACGGATGCGCTCGATCGCCTCGTTCGCGGTACCCTTTGTGTTGATGTAGTCATCGGTCTGGTAGAGAGCCATGGAGTGACCGATGAAGTCACGGGTGGTGGCCTCCAGTCCGAACTTGTCGTAGACCTCCTTCATGGTGCAGTTCTTTACATCGAGACCTGATTGCAACGTTTAGCAAATTTTCACAGCTCCAAAATGCCTTATGACAACTCACCCTTGTGTGTCGCGGCGTCGTCTGCCTTGTATGCGCCAACCCACTCGAGGAAGTTACGAGCCCTGCGCTTCTCGAAAAGACCCATCAACGGCGAGCGGAGGGCCTCGCCAGCATCTGAAGGGACCTTAGCAACGGTGGCCTTGCTGCTATTGCCCTGCTGGACGTAGCTGCCAGCAATCTGCTTGAACTCGAGGTACTTTGTGACGTCGGTGGAGACGAGGATGTTGGTGAGTTCGCCGTTGGCCATCAGGAGCTTGGGGACGAGGTCGATGTTCCAGTCGTTGACGCGGCCGTACTTCTTCCATGGCTCGCCGGTGGTCTGGCCGTACTTCTTGAAGAGGGCCTCGATGTTGAGAGAAGCAGCCTCGCTGTAGCACATTAGTTATCATATACGACAATGGTAGCTGTCGATAATGCTCACCCTCCATAGTGGTCATTGCGATCAATGTGGAGGACCTTCTTGCCCTTCACACTAAGGACACTGGAAGCTGGTCAGCGCGTGCATCGCCAAAGCGAGCATATGTGTTACCCTGAAAGGACGCATTCTGTGAGACCTGCGGAGTGTTAGCTCTCTACAGCGGGTCTGGCGGGGTAGAAGGAAACCCACCTGTTCCCAGGACCACAACGTCGTACTCGGGCGCGATCTCATCCATGTTTGCTGTATGTAGTGAAGACTAGTATGTGTGTTTGTGTGTGTTGTCTGCTTGGGCGTGGGAAAGCAGAGGTGGATGGCGGTGAGCGGGCATTCGATGTGGGGTTGGAGCTGCCTTGACTCGCGTTATGCAAGTGGCGTTGAGGCTCGTTCATGCAGCATCTCCAAAACATAGCTGGCACAAGACAATTATCCACAACTTGGTCTGCATTTATGCCAGAGCACAGACTTCTTCATCAAAACTATGTGCTCGCCCTGCCAGATGTTTTACAAATGCTTTATGCCCTCTGACGGACACTCCTCGAGTCCTCGTATCAACCAATCCCCTGATCCAGTCCCAGTATTGTACACTGTCTAATACATCGATATACTAACACCATGGCATGGATAGATACACCATGACACATTCCCCTTGATGATTGCGCGCGCCACGTATGCATAGTCTTGTGCTTCTTAGATGCAAAAATTCTCCTGCTCGACCGTGCTGTGTCTGATGCTATCTGGTAGCACTCATCCATATCTGCACGGCCAGACTGTCCCGAGTTCATGTTTGCTCTAAGCTGCTCTCAGGTTCAGTTTCTCGTTCGGCTGACTTGTGTTGTCCTTCGCAACGTCGGCGGCGGGTGTTTCCTCTTCGAACGCCTCTGGTTCTAATGGATCCTGTGATATTATGTCAGCCAAGGTTCTTTCCTAACGTATTTAGTGGTACATACGTAAGGCAACTGAGTGTACTGCGGCCCATCTGTCCTGCTAAGATCGATAGATGGATCCTGGCTTGCAAGTGCGAGCGCCTCTTGGTACGCTTGCGTTCTCTCGGCCAGTGTGTCCACAATAGCCTTCATAGTCTTCTGCACGACTTCATCTCTTGCCTTGCCCTCGTAATCGCCGTATATGGCCTTTAAACGGGCGCGCTCCAGCTTTTCGGTCGCGAGACGGTTGCGCTCCTTCACGCAGACCCACCAGAGCTGATGTAATGAGTCCCAGTCTTTGCTGCGAAGCTCTCCCATTGTCCATTCTCGGCCATGCTGCATAAGCTCTGAGGGGGTGGAAAGCAAGTTCTGGTCCTTGAAGAAATCCCAGAGACCGTGGTCTTGTGTCCCTGTTGGCTTCTCCTCAATCTTCACGGGTGTCGGCAATTGCTGATTCGCGAAATCCTTCTGCCTAACGGAAAGCGTCTGTCTTGGGCGGAGACCAGTTTGTCTGACAGCTGATACACCGCGGTTGCTGTTGTTGTCTTTCTTCTGCAGTATTGGCGATGTCGAGAATCGCGCGCATCGTATCGACGGGACGAGAAACGAGAGGATGGCATCAGATTGTGACGATGCCAGGCTTGGCCGCAGCATGCGGGATGTGGATGTGGACGCCATTGCGAGCGTTGGTTGCTGCGGACGCAAAAGGGCGGCTGTGCATCGAAAGTTGCGCTGCGGGTAGCGCTTTCCACAAGTGCGGTCTGTGCACTGATCTCACCTGCATCCACCGTTCAAGCACGCTAGAGCACTCCGCCCTTCCTTAAAGGCCTGAGGCGCCCGCTCACTCTTACACTCCTCAACCCAAAACCCGCCCTCTTCAGGTCGACACCGAGAGGGCTTTTCCTCCGTTTCAATTTCCTTTGACGAGTTCCTAGATTTCACCAGCGGGTATCAGGACCCGCTCTTTGACATTTCGCAATGCAGTATACCTCAGCAAACATGCAGTTCTTCCCAAGCCTACGCGTCGTCGCTTTCTTCTGTAAGTGCTATAACCATGCACCTTTTGTGTGAACGAAGACTGACTCCGTACAGCACCGCGACAACTGGGAAAATCTACCAAGCCACCATGGACAGCCACCTATTAGTTGGGACGAGAACTTAAGCTTTACCACTGCCGATTCTAGCAGTGCACTTCTTGATACCTCACTTCCCTTGGCTTCCACTTCCTCGTTCTCCACTTTGACTACTACCGACGACACTATCTACGACGCTACGAACTGGAACTCTCTTTCTCTAACTTCTGCTGGCACTGAGCAGTTTTCTGGCAATGCTCTTCAACAGGGCCTCATTTCTGGAGATAGTCTACTTGTCATGACCACCGAAGAGCAAATCAAACTCCTAACTATGGCACCTGCTACACAAACATCATTCGGCACGAGCATGTCTACCCCGATGGAGCCCAGTAAGAAGCCTATCACCGCGCGCTGTCAATTCATACTTACGAAAGCAGATCGTTCTCAGTCCGGTTCCTCATCGACAAGTCTCCACAACCGGAACTCTTACTCACCAGAACAATCTCCGCACACTAGATTGTCAACTTCAACTAAGAGCAGTCCTTCGACTGAACCTCCCTCTAAGATCGAGAAGCGTAAAGCCAACACCCTTGCGGCTCGCCGGTACCGGCAAAAGCGCGTTGACCAGATGTCTGGTCTTGAGGCTGAGCTTAAGGAAGTCAAGGCCGAACGTGACGAATGGAAGGTCCGCTGTGCTAAGCTTGAGGGCGAGGTCGAGGCTCTTCGTGCGCTCCTCCGCTCGCAGAAGTAACTTAGTTTTTATCGTCAGCGTTTCTGTCTTTCATGTTTTCATTTGTCGAAAGCTGGTAAATGCCTCTTTTCAGACGATGTCGGAAGATGGTACGATCATTGCACGCCTGTTCGGGGCGGCATCAAATCGGCAAACGTAGGTTATAATCTCTGAGACTGCTTAAGAATGGGATCATGGTACTTACAAGTCACTGTTCACGCTATATTGCATGTTTCCAGTGACGAGCTCACGATGTACCTCTTTAAAACACTACTCATTTCAACATCACAGCATCACATATACTCATACTGAATCACTCCTTCTCATTCTTGGAGCGCTCGAGCTCGTCGTGATCCTGCGTGAGTTGGTGATCAGCATGGCTCACTTGAGTTCACAATGAGTCGATATGAGCGTTTCTCCGTCAGCAACGGCGGAGAGCTTCATTTTACTACGGACAGTACAAGCGTGAGTGCACGGGATTTTTGCTTTGAGGTTCTCAACATTTCAACTTCTTCAGTACACCATTCCAACTGCAGTCACCACTGCCTCTCCAGCGACTGCGCCATTCTCACAAAGTGCCCTTCGATGGCCTGATTCACGGTCCTCTGACGTCGGGTCACAGTCGGCCAATCACAACCCTAGAAAGTGACTCATTCACGGTCATCCTCGCTCACGTCGCTGATCCTTGCTAGCGCGGCGCCGCCGAGCCGTGAACCGTTCTCTCATGTTTCGCAAAAAATGGCGGATAAGCCCGGGCCACCCACGAAAATCAACAATGCAAAGTCAGGCCTCAACATCAAGTAAACAGCTTAATTACAGCACAACCACATACCAATTTATTCTAAAATCGAGTTGCCTTGCCCTTGACGACATCCCAGCATTCGATTAGGCGCCCAGGATAACCTTTGATACTTTTGTTGATCTTGGGTGGCTCTAGACCTGCTCACACCTTGTAGAAGCGAGCCATCCCTCACTTTTGGAGCAGCATGTACGTCTATAAAACTTCTCCTTTAATGGAGAGACCCAAGTCTCCATTATTAAGAGATCAGGGGGCTTTGAGCATCCAAGAATGTAGTTCCAGCCATGCAATTGCATGTAACCAAGCGTCTTTTGTGAGGTGTGAGATGAGTCCCGATCCATGTACAATGTCCACTCTCCTCCACAGCAGAAAAGCTCACTCTGCAAAGCAGGGAGAATCTTTTCAGTGAACACTTTGGACGTCATCTTGCCATTAGAGCAACTTGTTTCATATGACATACACCATGCAAAGTCATATCCCAACACTGTGAACAAGTGGAACTTCTTCTCCTTTTTCTGGTCCTCTGTGTCTTGTTTGTGGTTGCAATCATACTGCACATTCTCTGGCTTATTTCTTTCCCCCTTGCCTTTCCTTCTTTTAAGCTTTCTCTTATGCTGTGGTCCTTTTTCCAGTGTAACTCATCACACCAAAGGACATCCTTCCAGTGTTTACCCCTTGACCGAGCCTGTAGCTGCTTATCACACCATTGAACTTGCTCTTCTTGACGCTCAGGTGGATGATCCTCTTCCTGGGCTGCTATGTGTTCAGTAATAGGAGCCATCTCGTTGACCCTGCACCAGATGGTGATGCGACTGTAGGCCTCCTTCCCATGCTTTGCAACCGCTCCTGCCTCAATCTGGATATCCTGCCAGGTCTCTGCCTTCTTCTCAAATGCACAATGGTCAAGGTAATCAGCAGTAGCGTGAGCTTCAGCACCTGTAAGCTGGCGTGGGGCGCCACTTGAATCAGGCCTGTCAGAGTGGTGGAGTGTTCTTGGCTCTCGGGAGCTGCACACTCTGCAGGCAGTACTTTCAGGGACTCCAAGGACTTCTTTAATACTCTCAAAAGAGCGAGGTATGTGGAGTATGTCGCAGTAGTACTTTACTCCCAGTACAGCAGACCATTGGGGGTTTGGAGGTGCTTCTGGTTCTCCTCGTCGGGACAGTAAATTGGCGGAGGCGTGGAGTCAAAAAATCGCCGGAAAGACTTCTGTATAGCAGTTGACTTATCTGACATTGCGCACACGTTTATTTGGAATGAAAACGTTCAAAATAGGCTTGTAAAGGGGGGATAGATTCCGTACGTCAATGTTGATGATGCTAGGTGGCCGGGCTTATCCGCCATTTTTTGCGAAACATGCCAGCCGTGGAACGAGCACGATGTGTTGATCGCGCAACATCAAATGCACTTCGCTGAACGTTTTGCAGTGGGGATCATGATTGCTCTTGCTTCTTCTGCCGAGGTTTGACCGTTTCTGCGCTTACCTGCAGGTGGGCAGCCCTTCCTCTTACAGCAATCCGACTAAATTCTTCTCAGTCGTCGTTGCTGCTTCTACATCAACACCTTACAGTGCCAACGCGCGGTTGCACTGCTTACCGACACTCACCATTTACTACTGGAATGTTGCAACCAATCTTCGACTATCTCGTTGATTGCTTCTTCCTGACGATTGGAGTATGATACCGCAATTGCTGCAGTATCCAGGGTTATGCACACCAGGACAACGAGGCTAAGTGGTCTCAAGGACAGGCTTGTCTTTCACGATCAATGAGCCTTCGTCACTGACCTTCTCCGTTTCGACGACCTTCAGGATCACGCTCCTTCACACGGCACCCCGTCAATGGGAATCGAGACTGCTGTCCCCTCGAATCCTGCCTGTCACTTGAGCACATCTCGACGCCATCAGGATGCCTTTCCATGCTGCCTTTCGTACATCAGCGCGCTCAGCTGTTCGCCTCCCTAATGTGGTCGTTAGAGGCTGACATGAACAGTATTGATTGGTGATTGAAACTGCCTAGCGGAGACATCAACCGCGTTTCAGCCTAATATCTCAGACGCTCACGTTACTGGAGCGGATACGAATAACGCAATTGATCAACTTACGAAACAGACGTGCAGATACAACACACGAATTGATCATTCGTGGAATGATGCGCGATCCTAATACAATTTTGGCTGCGCACTGTTCAATCTGTTGCTCTTGGGCCGTATCACTTATATGACGCGGTATTATAGGCTTCGAGAACTTGGTCTTTGGACGCCGCGACTTCAAAATACCGGCTACCTGCAGCGGCAGACCTAATCCCCCGCTCCCTACACTTGATGTGGATCTCTACCCGAGCGAGTCCTTGCTTCCAAATTTCATCATCCGCTCCAGTAACCATTCGCATGACGGCAATGTCCTGTTGAGTGCTCGTGTGCCTGCAGCTACATGGGTAGTTGTCACAGACCGTGGTCGATGGCGTGCAGGTACAGAATCTGGGGAAACGCGCCGGCCTGGTGGACACCCGTCAGAAGGATAGGAGGTGATTCTTATTTCTTCTCATTATGGGTATCCCCGCACGTCCTTTTGCTTTCTCGCTTTCCTGTTTGACGGATAATCAGATGTGCTTTTGATGATTGCCATTCACTTCAATTCCGAATACCTGTGCGACCAGCGTCGGCACTCTAGCTACCCCTGAAGATCATTTGCGACATGTATCTGCGACCAGGCTTCATTGTGGTGATTGTGGGTAGTGTATTGACAGGACTGTCGACTCTAGTGGTAACCCTACGGTACGTCCACGTGTACGAAGTACGCCTATCAGATATTGACATCAATGGACAGCTACTACTGTCGGTACTATCTCGTTGGAACTGTAACAGCAACGGATCACCTCATGCTCACTGCCCTGGTAAGGTACTCGGCATCGTGTCCTGCAGCGCTCACTGACAGTCAAGGTGCTTACCTGGGGTAACCTAGTCGTGAACTACTACATGGATGAGACAAGCAGTCATACTCGACCGAGTTACTACCGCATACCGGTACTTGATCCTGCATCTCGAGCATCTTCATTGACTTTGAGCTAACGCCCGAGTAGGAGAAGCGCCCGCTCATGGCAAAGTACGTCAAAGGCATCATGTTAACATGGTGGATGTACCGCATGTCCTATGTCGCCGCACTCTGCTTTGTCAAGCTGAGTATCCTCTACTTCTTCAAGACCATCGCATCGCACCGCACACTACGGCACGTCGTCAACGGTACCATCGTCTTCGTCGGCGTCTACTCCTTTAGCGCCGTTCTCGCTATGGGATTCCAATGCAGAACACCATCGGATGCATGGAATACAGACGCATATTTCGCGCAATTCGATGTCACACCGGACCCCAACGCACCCAAAACGCAATGCTACGACCCTACAATTATGTTCATATTCACGGCAGCTTTGAACCTCTTCAGCGACGTTGTCATCCTCCTAATACCGATCCCGACACTACTAAGTCTCAGCGTACCATTGCGCCAGCGACTCGCACTCGTGGGAATCTTCAGTATCGGCATGCTCGCCATCGTCGCATCCTCAGTCCGCATGCGCGTAATGACGCTCTGGGCTGCCTCGCCCTGGAACTCCGCAATCTACGGCACCGACCTTCTTCTCTGGGGCCAAGTCGAAACGAACAGCGGTATAATATCCGCCTCCGTCCCATTCCTACGTCTGCTGTTCAGGCGCAAAGAGCGCGCTGAGCGCCTCGCGAGTGGAAGGAAGGTGGTGGAGATTGTAAGCCCGAGGGTGGGCAGGAAACCGCAGCTTGAGCCTCTGGAGATGGATACTATTATGTTGTTTCCGGAGAATAAGAGTAGGGAGGGTGAGGAGAAGGAGGGATGGAAGCCGTTTATTACTGTGCCGGCGAGTTTGGGGGAGCGGAGTTCCGGGAGTGTTGGGGGGTTGCCTATGAGTCCTAAGACAATGGCCTGAGGTCTTGAAAACCGACGGATAGAGTCTATGCGATGTACGAATGATGAAGTGATGATTCCACAATACACAACAGTAGTCGTGCGTTCAGCGTTCATACTTGATGAAGGGCCTGATTCCAACACTCATCAGGGTCTCCAATGCAGGTCGGTCAGCCGAAGCTACCCTTTAAGCTTTGTCTCCAGCACGGGATTTCAGACCCCACATTGCAACAGTCGCGACAATTGTGCATCCGATGTCGTGCTGTATGACTGTATATCGCGCGACCGAAGCAACTCCTCCATCAGCGGAATAGAGGTTAAGGTCGGATAAGTAGCCGCTCGATAGCTCGGGTACATCTGCTCCGAAGACCGGCCGCTATCAAACGCCGACACGCGGAAAGTTCAGCGCGTCAGCAATAATGAGCTAGGTAGTGTTGTCGTACGATTGTCTGGACTCTTTTACACTCTCTTTTCTTTGCGGAGAATGTTCATTGAGCTTTGCAGCTCTTCCATGAAACCTTGAGAAATCGGCGCTCTAGTTTGACGTTGTCAATTAATTACCCATCGCGCACAACGAAACGAGCCGTGAACAGCCGCGTGCTTACATGCTACACAGAAAGAGGGAGTTCGTCCGTCACAGGAGGACGCTGCAATGGGGGAAGAGCAGAAGCAAATGAAGAGGTCTCTCGCCATTGGCGATGAACCTGTCGTCTTGAAAGAAGCGCTGCCAAAGCCGTCGGTACCCACGCCCACGACCGCGATGGCGACAGCGAAAGACGCAACCAAAGACGCAGCCACAAAGTGGAACACGAATAAACTCGGCCTGCGCCTCGGCAGCGATGCGCTCGCTGCTGGCGCTGCGGGTGCGCTTGTTGCGCCTATCATTACGATGATAGATAAGGGCATTATCGAGAATGCGAGTGGGCGGAATACCCTAGGCGAGAGCTTGAAGAAGAGCGCGAAGGAGCTGCTATTGAGGCCGCACCGGTTTCTGACCGGGAAACCATTCGTGCTTATCTTCGTACGTCCTGCAATCCCTCCCTTGGCACCACCTGTCGCATAGCACACTACAAGGCTGCCAGCTAACACGAGAGCCCACAGAGTCTTTACTTCGGTACCTACTTCACCGCCAACAGCATCGACACCCTCTCCTCCGCGCGCTCTCACACCCCCTACTCCTCCACCACTGCCGGCACGCCCAAATTCGTGGCAACATCCACCTCCAACCTCGCGCTCTGTCTCTATAAAGACAACCAATTCACCCAGCTTTTCGGCAGCAGCGGGTCCAAACGCCCCGTTCCCCTGCCTACATTCGCACTCTTTACCGTCCGCGACTGCCTCACCATTTTCGCGAGCTTCAACTTGCCGCCGATGTTTGCGCCGCGGATCGAGAAGTATATGGGGGAGGAGGTGAAGAGGTACGTGGGCGCGGCGAGTGTGGCGCAGTTTTTTACGCCGGCCGCGATACAGTTTGTGAGTACGCCGCTGCATTTGCTGGGGCTGGATTTGTATAATAGGCCGGGTGCGCAGATGGGCGGGCCGGGTGGGAGGGTCGGGCAAGTGGTGAAGAACTGGGCAAAGAGCGCGTTTGCGAGGATAGGGCGCATCATTCCCGCGTTTGGTGTGGGAGGTGTTGTCAACACGAAGACGAGACAGGCGTTCATGGGGAGGCTGGAGTAGAGGCCTATGGCATTAGATCCGCGCAAAGACCGAGGCACTGAAGGGAACACAGCGGACTTGTACAGAGAGGGGACGTAAATTCAGACACTCGGCACACATAGACGACATGCGCAACGAGGAGACTATGGTTGTATAAGCGCATTCACGACACGGCGTTTTGGGGTTGAAAAGCATTGCACTCCACTCACGCTGCAGATAGCAGCTGCATGGTTGGTACATAGCATGGCGTTTTGGACATTTCTGTGGTAGATGATGCTACTCTATGCAACATGACGAATCAATTTGTGTGGCAATCAGGGTCTTTGTCGTTCTTGCATTTTATGCTCTGCTACCAGAACTGACTAATTGCTTCTTTGGCATCAGTGTATAATGGTTGCTGAAATGTATAGACCCCCTTGAACTTTGCTCACTACTGCGACAGACTTACGTTGTGTACGAATGAAGGCTTCTAAGTGGCTGTTTCTATCTTGGTTGACAGCATTGACAGTCTGGTACATGTCCTGCAGGGCAACAACGTGGTGAACAGCCAATCACAAGGCTGTCCGCCCTCATGAACCACGGTACGTACCTACTGTACGCATCACTGTACCAGGGTCAGGGAGGTCTGCACATTTTTGCAAGCACCGATAAACGGCCCACTAAGCCTCACTCTGTTTCTCTCAATCATAGTTCCTCCTCTGTTTCGTTATCAAAATGGGACCCCAGTGTGTGTCATGTCTGTCCTGTCCGGCTCTCTTCGGAATTGAGGAGCGAAACCTTGAGGTCCTGCCTGCTGCTTTTTGGAACCAAATTCTGTTTGCCACGGGTGCATGTCTGCTCCTGCCCGATTTCATCCTTCAAACCATGCTGGGGAAGGTCCATGTTCCGCTGCTGTCTCTTTTCGCTGACAACAAATGTTGCTCTAAGATGCTGTCATTTCAGGTCCGAACTTCTTGACTTATCGTAATTTCGAAACTGAACTGGTAGAATCCGAGCCTTTCTTTCCTGCGTCGGTCACATTGCTGACACTCCCAGTCTTCCGTACCACACCCACAATGTGAAGCGTTGATACGTGTCTGTTGCGGTATCAGTCGGCCCTTACGAAACCCGATTACCCTTGCTTAGACTGTCCTGTACTAGCACGTTCCAGGGACAGTATATATCGTCATCTCTACCTAGATAGCAACTCAGCGCAGTATTTCATCCATCCGATAGTCCCATGTTATCGTTTACCATAGCTATCAGTATACCACAGCGGCCCACGCCGCCACAGTATTCGGTGAGTGAGAGAAGCTCACATATAGAACCTGCTAATACTATCACGTGATGGCTATCGGAGAATCCTTCACCCTCGACAGTATGCAAGGCCATGTCTGCTCTGCCCCGTTCTGGCCCTTCCATAAGACCTCAGTATTCGATCGCATGGCGTGGCTGGTTCTGTTGGCCACGAGCTCCAGAAAACATCACTCCCAGCTACATGTTTGCACCCGCTTTTAATTTCACAAAATATTAACGTGGCCTCGGAATATGGCCCGTTTTCTTCTGATAGGTATGATCGTAGTACATCGATCTGGAGGTATAAAACGTTTGTCGGACATCTCACCACATCCTGAAAACCGGTTTTGATGACTTTGACGATCTGGAGTCATTGGGACTTATCCACGTGTATTGCCTGCACTGCCGATGGGTCAAGACTGTTCCAACTACAAAACTACTTTCCCCTCTCGAGAAATGGCGGGAAAGGTACACATACTTCCGGAATTTCTGTCACAAAACACGTCCCCAAGTAAATAGGTTTGCTCAGGCGTTCTGACCGGTTCTACTTGACAGCGCGCTCACGTTCCCGAAGTTGCATTCTGTACGCGACCCAGGGAGCGAATCATCCTGAATCGGCACCAGGAAATATGTACAGACTTCCCAAGATCCAGACTTCTCAGCCTCTCGAGCGTCTGTACTTATACCATCAATATCAGCCATGCTCTCTGGCTTCTTCTTCTTCTTCTCCTACGCTGCATTGGAAAAGTCATCTCCTCGAATTGCGACTAAGACATTAGGTATGTTTGCTCTTCTCCTCCAAACTTGCCCACCGTGCATATCATGAAATGGCTCTTCTGGTATGACAGAAGTCTTTAGAGAATCAGAAATCTTCCCTATGACTCTGCTCACTTCTTTACAACAAAATCAAAGATTTTCTCGACTTATATTGCTGCTCTCTCATAGGCTTAACAATGCACATTTAGATCTGGGTTCTTTCTGTCTGTACCTATATGCAAGCAAGCTATCCCGGTGCCTTCAAAATAACGAGGCTTGTACGTTCATGTCTGCCTGGTCTCGAAAGCGATACAGTGCGAAAACTGGAGTTGCTGCATCCAACAAATATGTCCCGGGATTATCGGGACTGAGAATCGACATAATGAGGACTCCATTGACATGGTCGTCGTAAAATCTTCTCATTCGATTGCCATTCCTCGAAAGAGAAGAGTGGCACAGCTTGTTATTTGCCTTCCACCAACCACAAGTCTGATTTGGATTCATCAGGACACTAAGAATTGTTTGCCGTCTCTCGTTTGCCACATATGTCAGCTAGCTTCTGCAGCAATAAACGTTATGCCACTTTGTTCGAAGCCTTCGAAATGCATCGCTGACAACATGGTGAGCATCGACAGTCCAACCGTCTGCGCCGACCCTACCGGAGAAACTCATACTACACGCCTATTAGCGTTGTAGGACTCCTGAATTCTCATCGATCTGTCATCTTTGCAACCAGAAGTTTCAGCAGATCAGGAAAGGTGCTGCTTTCTGCCCTGAAGACGTCACGCTACACTTGCACGTTTGGAGATCTCCGCCAAAAAGAAGTTGCGAGATGTCTGGTTGTTTGGATCATACCTGAGATACCGCTAAAGCACTGTCCCCACAAAAGTATCGCCAGTGTTCCGTCATGTTTCGCAACAGAGACAGACAGGCCGTCGCGATGAGAGTTTTCCCTGCTGTAATGAAACCGGCACAGTTCACCGCTGATATCTTTACGTCTCCTGTTGAGACAAGCTACTTTTTTCTCCTTCATAATCCGAGAACTTCAGACAATTGCGAACTTTGACTTGTTGTTGTTGCCGAGTCTAAGAAAGGGCAACTTAACAAAGACATCTTCTCTGCCCTCTCTCCCTGGGACCTGAACTGATTGACTGCAGCATCAACGCAACATGTGTTCTTCTCCAACCCACTATTTTCCATACCGATCCTTCTCCATTCCTGCCACTATAACGCTTTCTGCAACATTTCGCGATGTGTTTATTTTCTGCTGCTCCCTCAAGAACATCAGGATATTGTATCCATGCAAGTAATGTCTTGAGCAGTTTCTGGGGTCAACCGGGTAGGTGCGTGGACAGGACAAATCTCAGCAGCCAAGGCCCATTTGGGTAAATTACACTGCAAATTGTGTAAAAAACACTACAGATTATGTAAAATACACCATAAATTGTGTAAGGTCCCTGGGTGGAGAGACACACTATGTCGCGAAACAGGTTGGCGGTTCGGACCTTCAGCGCCTCTGATCTTCGAACTGTTGTAGCCCCCGTTCATACACAAGTAGCTACAAGTGTTTCTCTTTTAAGCTAGCAGAGTCCGACCAGGATCTCTGCGGTGTTGATTATGCTGTCAATCGTTTTGTCAATACTGTCAAACGGCTCTTTTGCAATACCCCCCAGGATCTGTGTTAAGCCAGATTTAACCTGTGACCTCGACCCAAACTCCATCAAGCATCGTACGTTCAACCAAAGTGTGTGCCGGCTCTGCGCAAGTGGCTCCGGTCTTGCTACAGTCTTCACACATGTCCCAGTCTCCACCAAAGCAGATATTGCAGTGGTATTGACGTGCACTTGCCGGGATGCTCCACGTGCAGACATCGCATCGCATGCCCGGCTGGCTATTGCTAACCTTCGGCGACGTTTTCTGTTCAGTGTCAATCGCCCTACTATATCTATTCAGAAGCTTTGATACTGCGCCATGTCCTTTCTTTGCAGCTATCCAGAGAGGTTTTCGTCTGAAGCTGTCAGCTTTTTGAGGGTCGATGTTGTGCTGGTTAATGAGTGCTTCCACAGTAGTGGTGTTGCCGCCAGCCGCAGCCCACCAGAGCAATGTCCGCCCATAACAATCTTGTATCTGTGAGATGCCTCCACTTAAAATTAAGAGTTCAAGCGTCTCCTTGTGCCCCCCATACGCAGCTGCGTGCATAGGATTACCGTAGCGTCCACCCTGCGCGTTGATGTCGGCGTTGTTGTCTAGCAGCAGCTTGACTATCTGCTCGTGGCCTCCGTATGAAGCTGCCTGCAGTGCGTTGCCGTAGACTCCACCCTGCGCGTTGA